ATTTCAACTTGTGTTGCTTGCAGGGGAAATGTATCTCACGCTGCATTCCTGAGGAATGCTCGGAACAGTGAGGAGACACTTCGAAAAGAAGCAATAGAAAGGACTGATCTTAGTCATCTCAAAGATACATCGAGATTGATCTCCATTGATGCTGTGCCGGGTACAATTTATAAGGTGGAGGCAACTGGTGCCATGGTTAGCTTGAATTCCGCGGTTGGTCTTGTACATTTCTACTGCTCTCAGCTTCCTGGTGACAGGTAAGTTTACCAATAACTTTTATTGTCCTAATGACCTCTCTTCTTCCTCTATGAGATGATGGATTACTTCTCTCTTGTGTCTCAGGTATGCGATTCTTCGTCCTGAGTTTAGCATGGAGAAGCATGAAAAGCCTGGGGGCCACACAGAGTATTCATGTAGGCTTCAGCTTCCTTGCAATGCACCGTTTGAAATACTCGAGGGTCCTGTTTGCAGTTCAATGCGTCTTGCACAACAGGTGGGCATAATAGTTTATGTTCGTTTATCTTATTATCTTTCGGTGTTCCATGTCTTGAATTGTTGTGTGTTTGATGTGTAGGCTGTATGTCTAGCTGCTTGCAAGAAACTGCATGAGATGGGTGCATTTACCGATATGCTATTACCGGACAAGGGAAGTGGTCAAGAAGCTGAGAAGGCTGACCAAGATGATGAAGGTGAGCCTGTTCCTGGAACTGCTAGACATAGAGAGTTCTATCCTGAAGGTGTGGCGGATGTACTTAAGGTAAAATTAGCACTCACCTATGAAAAATTAGCTAAATGTGCTCTCAGGGGAGTGTGGTTTTAAAACTTGACTATTTTTCTATTAATGCACAGGGAGAATGGATTTTATCTGGAAAGGAAATTTGTGAGAGCTCAAAGCTATTCCATTTATACATGTATAGTGTCAGATGTGTAGATTTAGGCTCTTCAAAAGATCCATTCCTAACCGAAGTTTCAGAGTTCGCGATTCTTTTTGGCAATGAGCTGGATGCAGAGGTTGTTTGATTCTCTCTCCATGGATTTGAGTATTAGAATTTGAAGATGTAACATTGGTTATCTAAAGATTTGTTTACTATATCAGGTATTATCGATGTCTATGGATCTTTATGTTGCTCGGGCCATGATCACTAAAGCATCTCTTGCTTTCAAGGGATCACTTGATATTACAGAAAACCAGGTTAGACTGAACAACAACCTCTATTTTCCCTCACATTTTTGTTTGCTTGAGAAACTTTTTATCTTATATTGGTGGCATTTCTTGTGCAGCTATCATCTCTAAAAAAGTTTCATGTGAGATTAATGAGTATCGTGTTGGATGTTGATGTTGAACCCTCCACGACACCATGGGATCCTGCAAAGGCCTACTTGTTTGTCCCTGTTTCTGACAATACGTTTATGGAACCCATAAAAGGGATCAACTGGGAATTGGTTGAGAAGATTACGAAAACCACTGCGTGGGACAACCCACTTCAGAGAGCTCGTCCCGATGTATATCTCGGGACTAATGAGAGAACTCTTGGTGGGGACAGAAGGGAATATGGGTTTGGTAAACTTCGTCACAACATTGTCTTTGGGCAGAAATCTCACCCAACTTATGGTATTAGAGGAGCTGTTGCGTCTTTCGATGTTGTGAGAGCTTCTGGATTGTTACCCGTAAGAGATGCGTTTGAGAAGGAAGTAGAAGAGGATCTATCAAAAGGAAAATTGATGATGGCTGATGGGTGCATGGTTGCAGAAGATCTTGTTGGGAAAATAGTGACAGCCGCACATTCCGGGAAGCGGTTTTACGTAGATTCAATTTGTTATGACATGAGTGCAGAAACATCATTCCCAAGGAAAGAGGGATATCTTGGTCCCCTAGAGTACAACACGTATGCTGACTATTACAAGCAAAAGTAAGAAAACGCCTTCAAATAATTTTTGATTCTTCAATTCTTTTTCTATAAGAACTTAACTAATACGTTTCTGTTACCACGAGGACTTACATGGCCTCAATTCACCTCCGGTGTTGTGCAAGAATGAGAAGCAAAGCCTGTCTATGTATTATGTACAAGACCGGCTTTTCTTCTTCTTCTTGCACAACCTGAGGTAATTGGGGCTATAAAAGTCTTCTTCATCTATAATGTTATTTATTAGGTATGGAGTGGATTTGAACTGTAAGCAACAACCTTTGATCAAAGGACGGGGTGTTTCGTATTGCAAGAACCTTCTTTCTCCTCGGTTTGAACAGTCAGGTAATAAGAAATTAATCAATTATTTTGCCTTCCAACATTTAATGATTGATTAATCGATAAATTAACACTTGTTTGTTATTTTTGCAATTTAAGGTGAATCTGAGACAGTCCTTGATAAAACATATTACGTGTTTCTTCCACCTGAACTATGCGTTGTGCATCCACTTTCGGGTTCACTTATCCGAGGTGCTCAGAGGTTACCCTCTATAATGAGAAGAGTTGAGAGCATGTTGCTCGCTGTGCAACTCAAAAATTTGATTAGTTATCCTATCCCCACATCTAAGGTATATACTATATATTATGCTTAGTGTCTTTTTTTGTTGAAACTAATCTAATCTTATTTGGTGTATATATGTAGATTCTGGAAGCCTTGACTGCTGCTTCGTGCCAGGAAACGTTCTGCTACGAGAGAGCTGAGCTTTTAGGAGATGCTTATCTAAAATGGGTTGTTAGTCGTTTTCTGTTTCTGAAGTATCCGCAAAAGCACGAGGGTCAGCTTACAAGGATGAGACAACAGATGGTTAGTAACATGGTTCTTTATCAGTTTGCTCTGGTTAAAGGGCTTCAGTCATATATCCAGGCGGATCGTTTCGCCCCGTCTAGGTGGTCTGCTCCTGGTGTGCCTCCGGTTTTCGACGAGGACACAAAAGATGGAGGATCTTCGTTTTTCGATGAAGAGCAAAAACCTGTTTCCGAGGAAAACAGCCATGTGTTTGAAGATGGGGAGATGGAAGATGGTGAACTAGAGGGTGATTTGAGTTCTTACCGAGTTTTATCTAGCAAAACGTTAGCTGATGTTGTTGAAGCTTTGATTGGTGTTTATTACGTCGAAGGTGGTAAGATTGCAGCGAATCATTTGATGAAATGGATTGGGATTCATGTGGAAGATGATCCTGATGAAGTCGAAGGAACAGTGAAAAATGTAAATGTTCCAGAGAGTGTGCTCAAGAGTATTGACTTTGTTGGTCTTGAGAGAGCTCTTAAATATGAGTTTAAAGAGAAAGGTCTTCTTGTTGAAGCTATAACACATGCTTCAAGACCATCTTCAGGTGTTTCCTGTTACCAGAGATTAGAATTTGTTGGTGATGCGGTCTTGGATCATCTTATCACAAGACACCTGTTTTTCACATACACAAGCCTTCCTCCTGGTCGGTTAACAGATCTTCGAGCTGCAGCGGTTAACAACGAGAATTTTGCTCGTGTTGCTGTTAAACATAAACTCCACTTGTACCTTCGTCACGGTTCTAGCGCCCTCGAGAAACAGGTAAACAAGATTAAGAAACAAAGTATTTTGTTCTCAAAGAGTTTACTAATGTTTGATTGTTTGGTTATTTTTTGTTTTCCAGATTCGGGAATTTGTGAAGGAAGTTCAAACCGAGTCGTCGAAACCGGGGTTTAACTCTTTTGGTTTGGGAGACTGTAAAGCCCCCAAAGTTCTAGGAGATATTGTTGAATCTATTGCAGGTGCTATTTTTCTTGATAGTGGAAAAGATACAACTGCTGCTTGGAAGGTTAGTTATTTCGGTTAAAAATCTCTACCAATTCTGTTTTTTTTTTTTTTTGAATTGTATTTCTTAGCTTTACTAAATCATATTTTTCTTTTCCAGGTTTTTCAACCTTTGCTTCAGCCCATGGTGACACCAGAGACACTTCCAATGCATCCGGTTCGAGAGCTACAAGAGCGGTGCCAGCAACAAGCAGAAGGATTAGAATACAAAGCGAGTAGAAGTGGTAACACAGCGACTGTGGAAGTTTTCATCGATGGTGTTCAAGTCGGAGTGGCACAAAACCCGCAGAAGAAAATGGCTCAAAAGCTAGCGGCGAGGAACGCGCTTGCAGCTTTGAAAGAGAAAGAAATAGCAGAATCAAAGGAAAAGCTCGTGAACGGGAATGCGGGAGAGAATCAAGACCAGAATGGGAACGGGAACAAGAAGAATGGGAATCAGACGTTTACGAGACAAACGTTGAATGATATTTGCTTAAGGAAGAATTGGCCAATGCCTTCTTACAGGTAACAACAATTAAATAGAAAATTGGTAAAAAGTTTCTGTAATTGCAATAATTTTTGGGTTTTATTGAGCTTTTTTTTGGTTTTGTGGTGAATTTTGTAGATGTGTGAAAGAGGGAGGACCGGCTCACGCAAAGAGGTTTACGTTTGGGGTCAGAGTTAATACGAGCGATAAAGGATGGACCGATGAGTGTATTGGTGAGCCAATGCCGAGTGTTAAGAAAGCTAAGGATTCAGCTGCAGTTCTTCTACTTCAGCTTTTAAATAAAACCTATTCTTGATTTTATTTTACTCTCTCAAGGAGATGGAATTATATTGTGGAATTGGTCATTTGTTTCTATTTTTCAACAGAGTTATTATTATGGATATAAAATAATTAAAGTATTCAACTTATTTTTTTTTAGTAATTTGGAATTTTGCATTACAAATTTGTCTAAATATTAAGAAAAATTATCTAAAATATACAAACCTTGACTTCTACTATATTTAGTGAGAATTTTGGCTTAGTGGTCAAGGTGTTTCAATTGATTTTTTTTTTTTTTTTTTTTAGTGCTTCAATTGATATATTATCCGAATTAATTGGGTATAGAACTCTTCAAACAGATTAAACCAAAACTAACCAAAACTAACCAAAAATTATAATGCCAAGTCTTTAAAACGAAATTACGAGTTCACAAGGACAAATGATAAGAGGTCCAACCGTCCAAGTCTAGAAGAAAAATGCAGAGATAAAAGTATCAATTAGGATCATATGATTCTTATTATCAATGAAAAGCAACAGAAACAAAGATGTTGCAGAAATCTTCTGAGGAAAGCTTTCAACGCCTCAGGGTATGAAGAATGTATTCAGCATAGAGGTCCCTGTAATGGAAAATTCAAATCAAGAGTTGCTTTAGTGTTACAACTTAAAAAAAGCTGTGAGAAAATTTGGTTCTTGATAGAGAAACAGAGACTTACATTGAGTACTGGATAGCTTCAACAGCAGACTCAGATGGCAGAAAATCATTCACTGCAACTTCCTTGTTCTCGTTTTTCTTGTCTGTAAGAGATTAGAGTTAAAGGGGAAAAACTAATACTTGAGATATTGATAGCGATGAATAAGGAGGAGCAATGAAGAAAAAGGATACAGTCTTCAAAGAAACGGCGGATCTCAGAGAGACGGTGAGGAGGAAGTTCTTTGATGTCAGTGTAATGCTTATATTCAGGATCATCAACACAGACCGCAATGATCTTGTCATCTTTTTCACCCTAAATTAAAGAGACAAAAATACAAGAATCATTTAAACTGACTTCAAGAATTGGAGTAAGTGAAAAAAACACAAGTCTTTTTCATTGATCAAGCTAGTTTATTACCTGGTCAATCATAGGCATTAATCCAATGGCTCTGGCACGCAGAAAACAACCCGGAAGCACAGGTTCCTACACAAAAACAATAAATTTGTTTATTGAAATATAAAATGTTTGGTGCATAATATGAGAAAGAAAGAAAGAGTCATACCTGCATGATGACTAATACATCAATGGGGTCATTGTCTTCACACAATGTGCGAGGAACAAAACCGTAGTTGTGAGGGTACACAACTGATGAGTACAGAATACGATCAACCTGAATGAGAGAATCCAAACTTGTTGATATTGATTTTGCTATTAAAAAAACCATTCATATAAGAAAATAATCTTTGATCTCATTCTCATCTAACCTTGATGAGTCCTGTCTTTTTGTCAAGTTCATATTTAACCTTGCTTCCTTTAGTGATCTCAACAACCTAATAATCATCCAAAGATAAAATATGATTCAAGAATCTAATAAAATGATTCAAGAATCTAGTAACAACATTCTCTGTACACGATTCACAAAGAGTAAAAGAAACTTACCACATTGAAAATTTGTGGAGCTCCAGGTCCTACAAAGACTTGTGATTTAGTTCCACAATACAAAAGATCAAATCATAAAATCATGTTTTGAATGATTATTTTACCAATCTCAAGATCATGCCATGGATGTGCAGCTACGGATCTTCTTGACAAGGATGAGAGAATCCTCTCGTTAAGACGAGGAGCTGGTCGCTGCAGCCTCTGGTCATCTTTAGTTTCTTCACTCATCTGTCAAAATCACATTTTTCTAAACGTTACATCACTCAATGATATTGACTAAATCTAAGATCTTAACCCTAATTGGGGCAGAGAGAGAGAATCAATCGAATCAAGAGTGAGACCAGTATTAAATGGAAAAAGCGAATCAAGACCCCACGAAGGAAAACGATCTTTAAAGCAGATTTGAGATCGATAATACCGAAACTATGGTTCATATCTTTGATTAACGTATCGATAACTAAAGATCTATGCCAAATCTGTTCACTTTTCTCTATCAACTCGATGGATGATTGAGATTTTGAAGCAATACCAAGAAGATTAAACATGGAAAAGCATCAAACTTTGATGATCTAAGAACGATAACAAAAGAAAAAAACGTACCTTTGGATCGAAACGAAACGATGAAGAAACTTTGGGGGAGAAACAAGTGAAGCGCGTTGGTCTAGTGATTGTAAGCGTTTTAAGGTATGTGTGTATATATGAGTCTCACCACCGAGATATACGGATCATATACTTCTATAAATCGTAACACTACACTACCACTCAATAATTTACAAAGATTTAAATCTTTTTAAAATATTATATTTTCGATTAATTTCCGCGCGAAACATAGTTTGTTTTTTAAAAAAGTATCTTTAATTTAGTTAAGTTCGAAGCAAATACGAATCAGAAAAAAAAAAAAAAAAAAAAAGCGAAACACGGATATAAGAAAGAAAGAAAATTTCCGTTTTCGCGGTCACTCTTATATATATAGTATACTTGCATTACATTTTTCACAAATAGTTCTGCGATAAGAAGGGACTGGAATAATTTGGTTTCCTAGCACGAAATTGCACATTCAGTGGGAACAAAAAATTCTATCTTTATTCATTCATTCATGAGTAAAACAAATTAAGAGATTGCAATGTTGTATACCCTTGTGTAAGATAGATTAGCTACACATAATGAGCCTTTAGGGCTCTATTAGTTAAGCTTGTATAATGGGGAAAATGTTGTAATATAGGCCTAGTAGTGAATAAATCTTTAAAGCCCAGCCTATCACCTTTAGGCCTTTGGCGTTTGGCCAATGAGCGCCTTCAAGTTTAAAACAAACAACAGAGAGAATCATTATGGAAGGAAAACAAAAGACAAAACATTCAAAAATGAAACTTTTGTACAATTCATCTTCATCATTCAAAAGCATTTCTGATCTCATCATCAATATCCACAAATTTAACAAAAGAAGAGTAGAGACACAAATCCATTGCTTTAATGGTTAATTAACAGTAGTAGCAGCAGACATATAGACCAGAAGTAGCATACACAAACAAAGACGAGAGACAAGAGACAAGACATGGGGTAATATGGTACAGAACCTGACATGACCAAAGAAATGTTCGGATGGATCTAAAAGGAAAATTAAAAGTCTCTTTCATAAAGATTGGAGAAGCAACTACTAACACTAGATTTCAAGATATTGATAAAAATGTGGATGTTTTTTTTTTACCTCAAAGTCTGTCTGTCATGTAGAAGCTTCTCCTTCCAATCGAAGCCTTTTGCAGACTTTTTCATCACTTTGATTGTTTGTGTTCCCAACTTGGCTCTCTTTCAGTTCCATTGAACATCTCTTGTATGGCTTAAACCCTGTCTGTCTCGTTTTAGGACTCTTGCCTGGTCCAACACCGATCATTACTACTCTTTCTTGGTCTGCAGCACAAGAATCTTGGCTTTTAAAATTAGGAGCCGATGGCATGGCCGTGTCCCTTTGTTTTCCATTCACATTCTCTGCCACTTGAGGGGGTGAAAAGCTTTGAGGCAATTTTTCTCTTGCAAAGAGAGCCTGAAACGCTATACGACCCTGAAAAGATTTTGATAGTGTAAGTTCCCAGAACAACTCTGCAATATCCATGAATCATTGGTTTTTGTTTTACCTCTTCGGAGACTTCCTTCCATGAATCAGTAGTTGGGTTGTTGTTGTTGTTGTTGTTGTTGTTGTTGTTGTCTCTCATTTTAATCTTACGGTTATTTAACTCAATAACATCTGGCTGATTTTCATCTGTCTCCTTCACATCCTCTTTATCTTTCTCCATTTTATCTAATGCATCTGTTTCCGCGTCACTCCCTGAAGGTGTGTTTGAGCCACACGATGAGCGATCCACCAGATTTTTCTTCTGGGTAGTATTTGAATCATGCACAGCAGCAGCAACAACAACCTCCCCAACTTTATCACCTTGGGTTTTTGAGTCAACATTTAGCTTGGTTACTCCAGTCTCCTCTGAATCATCGGATGATGAATCTGGCGATTTTGAAGCCAAGTTTTGATCTTGCAGAGCTGTGTTTTGTTTCTCAAGCAATAGTTGAGCATTTTCAACGGTATCCATCTCAGTCATCTCTGGAGTTGGAACTGCAACAGTTGGTAATGGAACGCATGTAATTGGAGCTGGAGCACATACAGGAAGAAGTCCATGAGAAGCCCACCAAGCAGTTGCAGCAGCTACTGTAGCAGCAGCAATGGCAGCTATACTTGGAGGAGAAGAGCTCATTTGCGTTGATGAATCTCCAGAATTCCCGACATTCGCATAAGGCCAGACAGAAGCAGCAAATGTGGCTGCAGCATGAGCAGCAGGATTCTGTAGGAGGGTTGACATAATAAGATTGGAGAAAGTAGAAGACATCTGGAGAAACGAATGGTAATCATCCTGTGAATGACAAGCTGGAAACGCTTGATGAGAAGCTGTAGCAGATGCTGTTGTAGCTTGAAGATTTGCGTGCCCGTGACTTTCTTCTCTCATAGGATGAAACATGAAGTCTTGAGATACCATACCTAAGGGATGATTTTGAGGGCATTTGGCTATATTCCCGTTCACAATACCCGCGTGGAAATGCCAAGGGTAGTTTTGCACGCTGTGAACAGTACCATCGTTACCATCTTTGTGTTTGTTCTTCTTGGGAGCATCTTGACCCGCGTTGTCCACGGTTGAGGTCTTACTTGTTTCAATATCGGCACTTCCCTGCTAGAATGGAACAAATTTGTTGTCATCCACTTGAACTTCAAATACAGCATTCATTAGATTCTTGGACTCTTGTACCTTTCTTATACTTACTTTCTTTGGTAAGGGATACTTGTTCACAGTAGAAACACCCGAGCAATTATCATCTTGATTTTCTTTTCCAGTTGATGTTTTCTAACCAGAAAATAAAACATAAGAAGTCTATCACAAGAAGAACAAAATAATTAAATGATGAAGAGAAAGATTAGGAATAAACCTCAGAAAACGGCATTTTTTCCAAATCCAAGAACGACTGATTAAACTGTGAAGAAGAGGCCGACGAAACAAGTTTTGCATCTTTTGCTGGTGATACTTGTGAGGAAGATGTACCTTGATTCCCATGTTTTCGAGGATAAGGAGTATTGGGTTTCCGTTTAGGACGAGGAGGTGGAATTTCTATGTCCAAAGCTTGGCAAACAGGGATGCCTTTAGCTTCAGCCTCTTTCTCCAACTGAAAGTGAACCAAAAACTGTGAGCTTTTCCAAACTGGAGATGGAAAAATGCAGCTCAGATGTGAAATCCTGAGATTCATGAAATTGACCACATCACCAAGGTTGAAAAAAGTCTTATACTGACCCGAATTTTTCGGGGTAGAGATGATAGAGTTACTTCATGTCCTGTCCTATAGGGCAAGGAGGTTTGAATGGCTAAAAGAATCCATGCAATCCCATTATTTCATCGACTTTAGTGAATATGGGACAATTGTGTCATGCAAATGTAATGCTAGTTATGTTAATTTGGACCTATCTTATGATCTCAGAGAATAAAGCTCTCTTTAGAGTTTTTTCTAACAGCAAGTTTGGACAGTTCTTGATCTTGTTTAGTTGCATAGAGCAAATGAAAAAGATACAAAAAAAAAAGATATTTCTATTCTTCAAGCCTGATGCTATCCTCGGAACCAACGAACTCTACTTAGCCAGACGCCTAATTTCTAGTGGAAGCAATTAGAGAAAAAGAACCTTCTATCATCTTATTTCAGACAGTGACACGCAACTTCTAAACATAGTCAACAGAAACAAATGGTACCATCACATAAGTTAATGAAAGTGTTTTAAAAAGATCCGAAAGGATCATCAACTTACCTTTGTGAAGAACTTTTGTGCATGACTTCTGATCTGAACAGCAGTCTTTGTCCCAATATGTTCTGCACACAAAACAAAAACAAAAGACACTCCTAAACAAAGGAAAGTAAAATCTCAAACAGTTTAAATTTAAGCATACAAAAGCTAAACATTTTTTCAACCTTCAATTCGTTGCCAAGCTCTTCCATAAAGCCTCAAGGCTTCTAGAAACCTCTCATGCTCATCATCTGTCCATCGCTCTCGCTGCTTTGTTATTGTATATGGCTTTCTTGCCTAAACATTGAAAAAACAAAAGGTAAAGCAAATCTTCACACAACAACAATCTCAAGCATCATGTTCATTAGTAGTACCTTAGCTAATAAATCTTCTCCAGATGTATTAGTATCCATAACAGGACCGTTGCAGCTATTCGCTGCTTCAAATCCTCTCTAACAAGTAAAATATAATAAAGAAACCATCTTTGATCTCCCCAAACATGAAAGTTTCCAAATTGCAAAGCCGTTGTGATAACCTCTTTAGATTCTAGAGAAACTGCAAAAGAGAAGAAAGTACTTTATCAGAAATATTTATCCACACACACTTAGATAAGATAGATCAGAAACTTCAAAAGAGAAATCTTTTTCAAAGTCCACCGTGAAACAGTCGGTTTGCTTCTCCAGCAGAACTCAAAAGAATTCCCTTTATATTCTCAAAAGCCTCACCCAAACGAATCCATCGCAGCCAAAACCTTTAGACCATCACAAATCTTCATATCAGTAATCAATCACTAGATTTGTATCATTTATGCTAACTTTTAGAGCTTATAATATTTAGCAACTAAACAGAGATCTTAATATGTAAGAAGAACCCTAGAAACTTCTCATATTGTAAAATCTATACCCTTGAGAGTAGCCATGGAGGAACTAAATATGCAAACTAGATCATCTCACTGGGAACTAGCCGGAGAAGTCATTGTTCCCGGAAATAATCAAATCGGAAGCAAAAAAATATCTTAAAATAAACAAAAACAGAGAAAGAAGAAGATAAACTGAAGAAGAAGAAGGAAGACTGTTTTAGGCTGAAGAAGACTGGAAGAAGAAGAAGAGAAGCCAGAAGCAATCTCAGCCACAACAATTTTTCCCCTAATTTTCCAATTTTTTGGAAATATTTTTATTGTAATTTTTATTTGAGGCTGAAACAGCACCAAGGGTATAAATGGAAAAAACAAAAGTCATTGGAGATCGACACGTGGTGAGATTGTAATGGCTGAATACTGCACTTTTTGGTATATCTCAAGTTGCTTCTCTATGAGCCAGAAGCTTCGATGTGACGCTCACGTAGGTAAAAGTGAGTGTGATGGTCCACATTTGCTTACGTGTAAACGGTTTTCCCGGTTATTGGTAACAACTAACAAGTGGGTACGGTGCCAGCTGTGATGGTTTTAAACTGCCACGTGTCGGTTAGCTGGATCTGGGCTTGTAGTAAGACATTGTATGGGCCTCAATGTTAGGTTTTTGCTTTCCAATTTATATTTTGGATTTACTTTTACAGGAGCCCATTAAGTAAATGGAACATCACAACATCCAAAAAGAGAGTTTCAAAAATGAGAAAAAAAACAAATTGCCATCTCTAACTCCAAAATAAATTTGCCAACTACTAAACCACCAAAAATTAGTTTTAATCTTATTTCATAATCATCATCAGGTAAAGAGAGACTTACTAAGAAGTTATGGATCAGAGATGTTTTCATAAAATAAACAAGAAAATAATCACAAATTCTAAACATCGTGATAAATTAATAATGGATAAATATTTCACAAATCTCTATGTTAATGTTTAGAGTTCCAGACTTCGAATTAGAATATTTTATCTCCAATTCCCTCTCCTTAAACATTAACTAGAACACAACAGTGTTAAATTGTGAACCAGAACACAACACCAAGATATCTGAAATGCTCGTTTTCTCTTATTGAAAAACAGAGAATACTTTGTCTCTTAAATAGACAAAAGCACTTAACAACTAGATCAAAAAAAAACTGCAACAACTTGTACTTGGTTTCCTACATCTCAGGAACTCAAGACTTATTCAAAATTGACTAAATCAACAACTAGAAACGACTAATTTAAACCAACAGACTTATTGCTTCAAAGAGTTATTTAGAACATACATTAACAACAATATTTAAATTAAACGGGCGACTTAGAGTCTTTATCCTTATTAATATTTTGAGCTTCGTTATCCATTGGAGAAGACAATGCAGTTGATGATTCCGTTTCTTTGTTCTTGCCCCACAAGAACATGTAGAGACCCGTTATGGTCACTAGTGATCCAATCACACTGTGTAGCAAAAGTTTAAAAATTGTAATTATAGTGTTATGAGCAAAGACGTACATACATTTACAGTACAAAACTAAATTAATTTGATAGAGATGAACGAAGAAAGTACCTTCCAAGGTATAAAGGAGTGTGTAAAATTAGGAAATCAAATAGAGTAGCCGAGATTAGAGTAAGTGGACAAAATGCAGATGCGAACACAGCTCCTAATTTCTTTATCCCCCATGTTGTTGCTACCGTCGACATTGCTTGTCCTACTACTCCCTATAATACGTGTATATATATATATGATAAGTACTGTCGTGTCTATTTTTATCCAAGAAACATATTATAGTGATTATATATATTGGAGAAATTCCAAAATTTCGGAAGTTCTTGCATACTAATGCCTTATAATTTGTAAAATTAACTTTAAAACCATTTTTAGATTTATGAAGATGTGATATTATAACTTACAGCGTAGACAATGACGGTGATGACGAATCTATCATCGATGATCCAATCATTAACGTCTCTGCTTTTGTAAAGACTCAAGAGAGCACATTGGAATGCGGCGAAGATTGACATAAGACATGTGCTCGAGTATTTGCAAGGGTACTTAATACTTAAAGTCCCCTGAAACAACATCCATAGAGATAGCAACACAGTGCCTATGGTTAAGTAAAGACATCCAAGAAGCCAATTATTGGCGTTGTCTTGATCGTTTTTGTTGTGGGAAGCTTCTCCGTGAGAATGAGAGTTTGATATTTGTGGGCCTTTGTAAAATGTTAAGAACAAAGCTCCACTTATACATATCAAAGTTCCAATCACCTTCAACATTCCTGCTTTGGTCTTTAGAATCTTTACATTTTCAGTCCTAAAAAAAGTAAAATTTTAATGATTATTTTGAGATAATTTATTTAGAACATATTGCAAAGTAAATCCTTTTTTTTCTTGCGTTACAAATTAAAATAGAGTAATTAACAAGCTTAAATCGACATAATCCATGTGTGTGTGGCTATAAGCGACAATTAATTTTAAATTTAAATGATAATATATATTTCATTTGAATCAACGAGTCGCTTTTAGATAGTTTTCCGCATCATTCCATCAAAGTTTATAAAACTGCGACGTATAGCTATAAAAGGCAAAAAGAAGCTATAGAAAGAGGTCTCAGTGGATGCAGTTACGTATACTTCAGGTAATTAATTTGATGAAAATCCAAATATATTGCATTACAACTTACTATAAGAATATTTTATATTGGCTATACTTTCGTTGTTGCTTTTTAAAAATATAGAGAACAATAATACTATCAATTAGTGGTAAAGAAGTTAGATGGTTCCATCGTTACCTGAAAATAAGGGCCAAAGCGAAGGTGATTGCAGGCAACATGCTTACCAAAGCACACGAAACAGTTGCTGACGTGTACGACAGACCCAGCAAAAAGAAAAATTGCATCAAACTCGCCCTGCCAATTTAAACCCAAAAATAAATAAAGAAATAATCTTAATAATTAATTGAGCTTATGATTAGTCTTACCTACGCATAAAAAAATAATCAACGTAGTACAGAATTGAAATATAAGAAGAAACTGGAAATGGCCGACAAAAGAATATAACAAATTGCAATTAGTTTGAGAGGACTAACCCGAGAAGGCCACTGACGAAATGATCGATCATTAGCCTAAACGTTATCTGTGGTCTTGTTTTCCTATTTATAACAATAATACATCATATTTAGAAAAATCATTAAAACTATACATGATAACAAAATATTACTCCCTCCGTATTTTAATAATTGTCGTTTTAGGATTTTTATTTTTTTGAATTGGATGTCGTTTTCAAATTTCTATGCAAAATTTCTTACTTTTTAATGTTTTATGACATCATAAAACATTAAAAAGTAAGAAATTTTGCATTGAAATTTGAAAACGACATCTAATTTTTTAAAAAAGAAAATCCTAAAACGACAATTATTAAAATACGGAGGGAGTATAGTTTACAACTCTTTGTTTAGAAAAAACAAAACACATAAGTAACTCGTTACGTTATTTCATCAAAATATCAAACCTTTCCAAGATATAGGCAAAGGGAACCAAAATGAAAGCGGAAATAGCCATTCGATAAGCACCAATGACCATATGGTTCACACCATCATCAAGAGCTTTCTTCACAAGTGCATTCACCGAACCCATCGCTACGTTTGACATCACCATCACTATGACCGGTGAATATCTTTCTACTACTCTCACTCCAATCATACCTTCACCCATCTCTATATGTGAAATTGTGTGTATGTGTGTTCGAGAGAGATAAGACCCAATGTGCTTTGAGTTTGTCAACCACAATGCCTCCCATGCATATTTATAAAAGACTGTCTATGGGTTGTTCCACATTGGACTTACTTTGACGTTAACCTAAATATATATATTTATATATATATATATATATATTTATACTCCTGAACTTATCTAAAATCTTATAAAACATGTATTTGTCTTAATGAAAAAATAATCAAACATGTATATGTATGTAGTTATGTTCATTCACTTCACACCACAACCTTTAATTTTTTCATGTATATATATCCGTTATTCGTATTCCAATAGGATTGTCAACGTTAAATAATTTAGCATAAGATATTATTAAATTCATCATATATTATAATAACATTTGCAATATTCTAGATAAAACAATAAAAATAATGAATTATTCGCTAATTTGGTATAATTACGGATCGCTTCTGAAAAAAAATTTCAATGCTATAGTAAAGTTGTAGAGAAATACATTAGTTTCTTTTGGTTTGAGAAAGAGTCTATATCTAAATTAAACTTCCACTTATCCCATATATAATACAAGCTTTTCTATTAGTAATTTACTGAAAGTGATTATAGGTGTTATGTGAATGATAATCAAGGAAAAAAGTAGTCCTGTTAATCTACCAATTTTTTTGTACAAATTTTATTATATATTATTGTATTATACGATTTGACTTTAAAGTAAATTAAATTAAAAGTGTTATTAAAGGAAAAAAAAAGGTTGTGAATTCTATCACGACAAGTCATGCATATATATATTTACGAATATCATTGTTTGGTATTAAGGTTAACAGATATATATATATATATATTATATATATATATATATATTTTTATAAAAGGGCTTTTAATTAACAGAAAATTCTAAGTTGAGGTCTATATATGTCTTTTAAATCAAACGCAAGTGAAAAAATGCCACTCATTTACTAATTTTCTATTGTGTATTCTTTGCAGATTACGTCTCTATATAATCATCTAGCAAATTTACCCTTAATTTTAACACGCGTGGATAGTAAAAAAAATCGAACCATACTTAGGTTTACCCCTGGGGTGAACCTTTAAATTCACCCAACAGATTATAGCCAATCGTTTTGCCATGTCATTATTAATACTAGAGAATTAAAAAAAAAAAACACAATTAAAAAAAAAAGGAAATCACAAAATAGATTTAGGGTTTAAGGTTTAGGGTTTAGGGTTTAGGGTTTAGGGTTTAGATTTTACAATTAAAACGAAATTAGATGTCGGTTTGGGTTGCCAAATGAGTGGTTAGGGTTTAGATTTTATAATTAAAACTAAATTAGATATCGGTTATGGTTTAGGGTTTAGGGTTTAGGGTTTAGGGTTTAGATTTTACAATTAAAACGAAATTAGATGTCGGTTTGGGTTGCCAAATGAGTGGTTAGGGTTTAGATTTTATAATTAAAACGAAATTAGATATCGGTTTGGGTTGACAAATGAGTGGTTAGGGTTTAAATTTTACAATTAAAACGAAATTATATATCTGTTTACCGCTGGGTTTAGGGTTTATGGTTTAGGATTTGGGTTTAGGGTTTCGGGTTTATATAACAAATATTTCACAAACCTAAACATATATATAATTTCGTTTTAATTGTAAAATTTAAACCCTAACCACTCATTTGTCAACCCAAACCGATATCTAATTTCGTTTTAATTATAAAATCTAAACCTTAACCACTCATTTGGCAACCCAAACCGACATCTAATTTCGTTTTAATTGTAAAATCTAAACCCTAAACCCTAAACCCTAAACCCAAAACCCTAAACCTATTTTGTGATTTCCTTTTTTTTTTAATTGTGTTTTTTTTTTTTTAATTCTCTAGTATTAATAATGACATGGCAAAACGATTGGCTATAATCTGTTGGGTGAATTTAAAGGTTCACCCCAGGGGTAAACCTAAGTATGGTTCAAAAAAATCCTAATTAAAAGAAGAAATATAACTATTTTCATTGATAAGACTGATCGCAATTTGAACTTGACAAAACTTTTTTGATACGAAAAAAGAAGGAAAAGACGAAAAGGAGTTGGTATTGCTATCTGAGTTCGAGTGCATGAGTGGTCGTGAAAGTGGAATTAATTTGGGATATGCTTACTTAGTTACTTATGCATGGCTCATACTTTTTTACGGTATGTTAAAAAGGTTAAATCTCTTGCTCTAGAGTTGGTTTGACATAATTTTTCTGAAACAAGTGAGTAAGCCTTTAAAGTCATATAGGTCACAATTTTAGAAGTTAGACGGATTTTCACTATATGCCAGCTACTTTTAAACGGATTAAGAAGCCTAAACGTTTTTGTCTATCTAGTACAAATATCTATTTAAGTAAGTTAAAATTTACATGTTTACTCCTTCAAATATATTATTTCCAATGATTATTCTAGATTTAGAACACAGAGCTTAGAACTTAATTGAATTATATATAAAGACAAATTTTATATTACAAAACTATAAATCGAGCAATTTTTATTTTTTAACCGGCTTATTTTTTTTACCAACTACGATTATTTATCTTTCTTACAACTTATAAAATGTAATTTATTATATTGTTTATAAATTATTTAACTCAATAAATACGTCAAAATATATGATATACAATTTTATTTTATACATGCATAAACAACCTAATGTTGACTAAACCCAATTAAATGTTTTAGGCCCTAGGCACTGAATCATTCTCCTTTTTTTTTTTTTGTTAAGTCATTCTCCATTTACCTCATTTGGTTTTCTTAACATTGAGAATAAATTGATCAGGCACTAAAGAAGCTATACAAACTTTTGCAAATGAAAAAAAAACTCAACTACATGTTTGTGTGTTTTTTCCACGACATGTTTTTTAGGAAAAGAACAGAATTTATGAACCCACTAACAAACCCACTAAAAATAGTCGGAGGGAACAGAAAAGCAATCGAAAGTAACGAGACAATAAAAACGTTTTAAAAAAGTTAAGAATATTTAGTGTGGGTCGACATGTACCTCACTAATTTCTAAAATATAACCTCTATCTTCTAAGCATAGCTAGGAATTTTGTGGCCACTAATCATCCAAAAACAATGTACGACGCCTGAAATTTACAAAATATATGGATCCTACCAAGCAAAAAATATGTTGTAATTTTGAGAGTTACTATATTCCAATCTAAAAAAGGTTAGGTAACTTGGTAAATCTCTATCTCCATTAAATTCCCTTATTGTTTTTACGTAAAATTTCGGATCAATAAGAAAAAACATGTTTCCTGCAAAACTCGGAGCAACATTGAAAGTTGAAACTTATGGAAATAGATGAATTGAAATTAAGCGAAACGAAAACAAAACTTCAAATTAATGACAAATTAATTCCAAAGCCGGCAAAAAGCCCACATATAATTTTCTGAAGAACTCAATAGTAAATTAGAAATTTAGAATACATTAATAGTAACTGAACTAAGATTTGAATTTGGTAATCTAGTAATTTATTGTTTTTTAACCAATTTTTATTGTAAATTATAATGAAAATAACTAATGAAGGGAAAGAGAATACCAGAGGGCAAAAGGAATTTAGGGAGAAAAGGGAAATTAAAAATACTCAAAACAAGCATGTAGAGTCAAATACCATATGGGAAAGAAGAATGAACCTTCAAATATCACCACTAGACTAACTCTTAATTTAGACTGTGGCATCTTTTTAACTTAATAAACGAGCATATATAAAGCTAAAGTTTCCAAATCATAAGAATATTAAAAAAAAAAAAAAAGTATTTGTCCAAACTTACACAGTTTCTAACTTTAATTAGATATTGAAGTATTATTGTGCAATTGTCTTATGCAAACTGACACTTCTCCAACGCAAAGAGACAGCTATTTTGCGTTTTGCGTTGGTTATTTTTGAAGATACACACTACTACATAAACTCAAAAAGGAAAAAGAAAACAATCAATCTCTAAATTATTTCTATTCTGAAAGAAAAAGATCATATTTATTCATATTCTTCTTAGATAGATAAACCACTAATAATAAAGAAGCCACTAATAAATATGCACGATGACCATTTTCTGAATCAAATGTCATTTGATTCAGATTCGAGATGACTGGAAAAAATAAAACACTTTTCAACAAGATATACTCCCTAATCATAATCAGGTGAAATTTGTAACTTTCACTAAATAATTCTCCATATTATATTGTTCACATCTTCATTGGATCCCTTTTACACCTTTTTTTTCTTTCATTGGATCCATCTAGTTTGCACTATATATCTCATTTTTGTATATAACTTTAATTTTAAAAGTGTAATAATACAAATTTAGAGTGATATCATTTACTAGCCCAATGGAGGATCGAATTGTCTAGAACTAATGCGTAATGCAACACGATGGTTTTGAATGGTGAAATAGGTGAAACCATGAAAGTGGCAAACGAATCATTCGCATATAAGAAGAAGATTGTGTCCACCCTGAATTAGATATTTTATGTGTGAAATCTAATGTTCACGATTTGACTCTCCAGGGTTTTAAAACTGGTCAACAAGTTTGAGCTACGGTTTAGGGTTTTAATGGCAATTGTGAAAGTTGCACTCAAGAAATAGTTATCAACATCATAAAACAGCTTTAGTGTTATAATTGATTGAAAGAGATTCTATTTTCTGGACTGAATCGTACCAGTCATATAAGAGCACTAGGGTTTGTTTGTTTTCTTCTGTAAGAAGGTAAAGGAGGTAGTTATCAGATGGGCCCACTTGAAATCATTTCACTGGGCCTCAACAAATATAAAGCCCATTTATCAATAATGGCCTCCTTTTTGTAATCTCTGGTTCTTTTGTCAAGTAAAGTACTCAAGAACTGACATTTGAAACCCTAGTTGATCTTCTTCAACGGGAAATGGAATTAGAGAGTGACGAGAGTCGTGTGAGGATCCTAAATCCTTATTCGGGTCTCCGAATCGGATCCTCGGAGTTAAGCCTTAACAAGAGATCCTACAACATGAAGATGCTTAGGTTCTGTTTTCTTGATTTGGAACCTGAGTATTGCACACCAAGTGTTTGGCAAAATGTTTGAGTGTGTTTGGCAAAATGTTTGAGTGAGATGTTGTTCCAATTTCGAAGATCAGGGTTTTGCAGTATTTGCAGATTATAGGAAACAAGTAGTGTTATATGAATGAGGAAGCATTGCATATAGACGACACTTGGGGAGGTTTGACGATTATCTTTCATTTGTAGAGTAGATGAGTCGAAGAAGAAGATCGAAAAGAGAGTTATACATGTAGATTTAATGGGTGAGAAACAAAATCGAGATCGATATAATATGTAAAGGTTACTTCTTGAGACCTTGTTGAAGAAATCTGAAGACATTCATTACACATTGTTTGTGTCCAAGAGATGTTTTTGCAGCAAAAGCAGAAGAGTTGGTTTAGGACTCACTCTTCTCGATACCTTCTCTGACGATGATTCTGCGACCTTCATATTGCTGCAAAAGAGAGATTGTGTTAAAGCCATAGAGCTGTAGTAGTTTCCTCAAGATTCCGTTATGGATAACGAACTTAACTGTTCCATTCAATGATAAAGCCGCATCACGTTCTTCACTGTTTGTAAAAGAAAGAAAGGCAAAGACTCTGTTTTTCCCGGTCTTACGATCATGTAACACTCTTGTGCTTACGATTGTCCCAAACTTGCTGAAGTGGTCTCTCAAACCATCAGGCTGTGTGAACCAAGGGAGATTTCCGACATAAACCTTGTATTGGCTTTCATACATCAGAATCTTCTTTGGAGTTGAATTCAAGACTTCAGGGTTTCGTCTGGCTCCTGGATTCATGTCAACGGAGTACCTAACCCGCATTTCCCGACCACCTACTTCCTTCATAGCAACAAAACCAAAGCAGTCAACTTTATGCTCAATGAAGAAGAAAGATAACTTTTTGTTTTCCAGGGCTCTTACTGTTCCATCAAGAGAAGCAATTGCGATTTTGGCAGAGTTTATAGAACCCATTGTGACGTATCCGCTTCCACGGCTCTCTCCCGTCTGAGGATTTCGCGATACCTGCAAGATCATTTCAAGCAATACACACAACTCTCATTATAGGTATCAATCATCCATTTACTCAAAGAGTAACCAGTAAGTGGATAACAAGTTTGATTCGTCTTGATGGAACTCAAAGCTAAGGACTTTCAAACTACATTGTGGATGATTCTTCTGTTGAATCAAGTTCAAAAGAGTAAAACTTTGAAATTTCTCAAGGCATTGTAGGATCAACCAAATCTGGATAAGAATGCAGAAGATTTTATCCAGAATTTACCTCAACAGAGATTACAGTTCCAAAAGGCTGAAACATGTCAAGAAGCTGAGCAATGTCGTAGCTTCTAGGGATATTACACACGTAGAGCTCGCAAGGTCTCGGTTTCTTTACTGGTTCTGCTTCGGAGACGACACTATCTCCATTGGTTTCTCCTTCTCCAGTTTTCACTTCTCCTTTAACTTCTTCTTTTTCTTCATCGAGAACTGATAATTCTGAAGAAGAGACCTTGATTTGAAGTTGGTGAGCTACAAAGGGACGAGAAAGAGAAGAGAGGTGAAAAGAATTGGAAGAAGAGAATTGAGGTTTCAGAGATTCTAAGTAAGAGTAAGAAGAAGAAGAAGAGATTAGGGTTTTGTATTTGGGAATGGCATCGTGAGATGATCGAGAAGAAGAAGATAAGGGAATTGCGAAGCAAGAGGCCGCCATTATCAAACCAGAAAGTAAATAATTTGAGAGGAATAATTAAAAAAAAAATGAAATAGAAATTAGTAGAATAAATCGGGTCGGGTCGAGTCATTTAATCCGTTACAATCCGGCTTGGCATTCGCTACATGAGATGAGACACTCTCCTTCGCTTAGCAGGTTTCATTTTCCAATAACAAAGTTATCAATCCAAAAACTAAAAGTTAAAAAAAAAAAAAAAAAATTATTCAAACAATGATAAGATCATCTATACTCTTCCATTTACCAAACACTTTAATTACAAACTATATCAAAATAAAACCAGTTGCCAAACATATATACTAAACTTATCATGATTAAATATTTTGAATTAAAATATATAAACAAATATTAAATACATCTCAAAACCATACAAATTCTTTCCTAAATTATAATATTACATGATTTAACTTATGTATAAAGTAAATGGTATCTTATTTGTAACATATAACCTATTCAAAAAAATTACTTAAAAATCATACAACATCTTCTTATAATTATATCACATAGTATATTATGGGCATCCATTCATTTAACCAATATAAAAAAATCTTTCAAAATAAATAAAATAAAAATATATACATTTTTGGATGAGATCAAGTGAAAAATTTAATTAGGTGTAAACCATATTGAACCTAGAACACCGCTTAGGGGTTTGGATGTTGTATTCAATTAGTTTACACAAAATTAAAAAATTTAACACTTATCAAAAAAAGAAAAAAAAAACATTTTTTTAAAAAAGTGTTAAAAATTTAATTAGGTATAAACCATATTGAACCTAGAACACCGCTTAGGGGTTTGGATGTTGTATCCAATTAGTTTACACAAAATTAAAAAAATTAACATTTATCAAAAAAACATTTTAAAACAAAAACAAATGTTAAAAAATTAATTAGGTGTAAACCATATTGAACCTAGAACACCGCTTAGGGGTTTGGATGTTGTATCCAATTAGTTTACACAAAATTAAAAAATTTAACACTTATCAAAAAAAGAAAAAAAAAACATTTAAAAAAAACAAGTGTTAAAAATTTAACTAGGTGTAAACCATATTGAACCTAGAACACCGCTTAGGGGTTTGGATGTTGTATCCAATTAGTTTACATAAAATTAAAAAAAATTAACACTTATCAAAAAAAGAAAAGAAAAAAATAATAATAATAAGTGTTAAAAATTTAAATTATGTGTAAACCATATTGAACCTAGAACACCTCTTAGGGGTTTGGATGTTGTATCCAACTAATTTACACAAAAATTAAAAATTTAACACTTAAAAAATAATTAAAAACAAAAAGAGATTTGAAAAAACGTTTAAAATTTAATATAAAACATGATTTGAAAAACCTTTTTAAATCTGAAAACCTTTTTTTTGCGTGAACAAAATCAATAATTAAAATACTAAAATCAAAATATTTTTTATGAAAAAAGAGAAGAAAAGGAAATTGAGAAAGCAATACCTCGTGCAGCTTGTGATATGGACCAAAAACAAACCGGGACAGCTAAACGCCTTGGCTCTGGTACAAGAAAAAAACTCTGCCTCCTTGTCTCCTTGAGCCCATCCAGCTTTTTTCAGGTACTACAACATATTAAAAAGATTGCACATATGTCAGCAAGTGACTACTATATCCAAATTCACAACCTTTTAACTCATCCCATCAAAATATTGCCTATTGGTCTAAGAAGCCTGATATTAAAAAGGTAAAAAAACAAAAAACAAATAAACAAGGACAAAGAACAGAGAAGAAACCCTAGGAATCTGTATCACCAACGATGATGGTGGTAGCACCAAAAAGAGAATCTCAGTTCTGTAACTTGTACACTACTCTACTACTAGCAATCTCTGTCTTTGCTTCTCTATACTTGCATACCCATAACTACAAATTCCGAACCCTATTTTAGAAATCAACCGCAGAACAAGTACTAGCATAAAGAGAGAAGAAGTTGTTATACCTAGAAGAAGAAGAATAGGATACGAGATTGTTGGACTATATATGCCTCCTTCTTCGAGACGCTCGAGGTTTCTCATCAGTCCGTGGTTTCCAAAACGCCATCTTTTGCGCCCAAGAGCTTTTTAGCTTCTTCGGTTTATGTATCACGATCGGCTCTTTCTCTCTTATTCTACAGAGATGATAGGCGTACTTCAAAGTCTACATGGATCATCGGCGAGCCTCTCTGTATGAGAATTGCATAAAGAAAAAGATGATTTTTTTTCTCTCTGGTTTTGGTTTCGAAGAAGAAGAAAAGAGAATGAGTGATGATGTTGGAGATTGATTAGCCTTCACTTGAGTATTTATAGGCAAAACGTTCTTCGAATAAAAAAAAGGAAACTTTCGATTATTTCCTTTTTTTCTTCGACGGTTGTTTCGTTTTCTTATTTGGGTTGATAAATAATAATAAAAATGGACCTCTGACAACGTTCGAGAGATCTGGACCGTTTATTGAGATCGGACGGTGATAATCTAATCAAAACGGTAAGTTTGTAAGATCATGTGGGACCGGGACGATCTATTTATTATTATACCTCTCTCTCTTACAAACAAACATATGTTTATTACGGGAGAAGGAAAGAATGCTGGAGCCATCAATTGCTTTGGTTAGGACCAGAGCAATCATGTCATTCATCTGACCACTACATAATCTACAACTCCATGGCTCTGAGGGAAGGTGGTAGTGATAGAATCTTCTATGTTGAATTCCCTCAGAGGTTTGAAGGTATTGGACCCAAATGATCCTTATGCAAACCACAACACTGTCTTCTTTGATGTTAATATCAAGTCTACAAGTCTTGTATATATTTGCAGGAAAGAGCCATTATAATGGTGTGAGGGAAGATGTCGCTTACCGGGGATGGTCTTATACAAAGTTTTTGGTAGTGGGTGACTTCATTTGTGTTTGAGGAGTATAAGCAAGCTATGCAGAGAAGAAGCAAAGAGAAAAGAGTTTTTGTGATTAAAAATGCAGTGGAAGTATTAGCATGTATTGTTCAGAAACTAAAGAACGAACATAGTATAAAACATTTATCTTTTTAAAGACAATTTTCTCTCATAACCAATGAAACCCAACGAACTAATAAGAAGAACCTTGTGATGATTTAGTAACACTCAACAAAAAAAAAGAAGCAAAATGTTCAAATGATTCAAACTGATTCTCTGTAGCATTTAACTTAATAAGATATATAGAAACATCAAAGAGAAGCCAAAGACAGTAGACAGCTTATGGTTAAACTTGTCTTCTCAGACTTGAGCTGTTCCTTCAGTAAACTTGGGGTCCTCACATCTGTACCGTCCATCAGGTCCAATTCCAAATCCTTTTGGATCAGCAAACACATTCTCTAGCAACTGACTGCGACCGGGCTGTGGACTTGCGTCTGCAAACTCAACTGCTTCCTCCACCAACTCGTCTATCTTTTTCTCTATTGACTTTAGCTCTGCTTCCTTCGCAAGCTTGTTCTCTATCAAATACTTCTTCAGTGCTGCGATTGGGTCTCTAGCCGCGTATTTGGCTTTCTCAGCTGCATAAAAATAAAATAAGAAGGTTGTTTAAGGATACAAGCATCAAGAAGCAGAAAGGTAGAAGGAAGTCGATATTTACCAGCATCACGGAGCTCATCAGGATCAGCCAATGAGTGTCCTCTGAATCTATAAGTCTCACATTCAACCAAGGTTGGACCTTCTCCTCTTCTAGCTCTAGTGACTGCCTCTTTAGCCACTTCCCTCACCTTCAACACATCCATACCGTCAACATGAACACCCGGCATCCCAAAAGCAGGACCTTTCTTCCATATCTCGGGGTCAGAAGTAGCTCTCAAGTGAGACATTCCAATCGCCCACAAGTTATTCTCCACAACAAAGATAATAGGCAGTTTATACAGAGCAGCCATGTTCAGACACTCGTAGAACTGTCCGTTATTACAAGTTCCATCTCCGAAAAACGCGACAGTGACATCTTCACAATCCTGTTTCAAGACTTCCCTCCTGTACTTAGAGCTAAAAGCAGCACCAGTGGCCACTGGAATCCCTTCACCAATAAAAGCAAACCCACCAAGCATGTTGTGCTCCTTAGAGAACATGTGCATGGATCCACCTTGACCTCTGCAGCATCCCGTAACCTTCCCGAAGAGCTCACTCATAACAGCACGAGCAGAGACACCTTTGCTGAGCGCATGGACATGATCACGGTAAGTACTAACCACTGAATCACTCTTGGTAAGGAGCTTGATAAAGCCAGTAGAAACAGCTTCTTGGCCATTGTACAAGTGAACAAAACCAAACATCTTCCCTCTGTAATACATTTGAGCACACATGTCTTCGAAAGATCTACCTAGTATCATATCTTCATACAACTCCAATCCTTCCTCTTTAGTTATCAACTATTCCAAAACAAATCAAAATTCACAAAGAAACTTAAAGTCTCCAACTTCAATTACTTAATCAATACAACAAATCTACAATCTCGAACTATCATTCTATCAATTCTATCAATTCTATCACAAATTTCGATAATTTCTTAGTTAGGATAAATTTTGCGCCTAAAACTTGTAGAATTGTGATAAAGTATCAGTCTTTAGGAGAAAAGAGAGACGAGAAAGTGGAAGCATACCAGGCTATTATTGGTGGATTGCTTCTCCTTGACAACTTCCTGGACAGCGACGACAGGAGATCGACGGGTGGCGTTGGAGTGATTGAGTCTGCGAGAAGAATTGACGGTGAGGGAACGGGTGGATCCGAGGAAAGAAGAAGAAGAAGGAGCCAATCGGATCGGAAGCAAGAGACGATTCTCTTGAGATCCATGGAGAGGAACCGTGGCAGTGAGCTTAGTGGGAGCGAAAGCCGTCGCCATTGTCAACAATGAGATTAAAAAACTTTGGAGAAAATAAAAATTTCTGGGAAAATAAAAGAGAGAGCAGAGATGGGCGGAGACAACAAGAGAGACGGAGATGAGAGGCAGAGGAAGCGACGGCTCAATACTTATATTTTTATTTTTCTCAAATTTTAATTATTGTTCAAAAATATGTGTTATTTTCACATTTTGGACCCACCCTTCGTTAACACCAATGTGTTTTTCTTTTTCTTTCTATTGATCTCTTAATTTCAAGATCCGATCTACGTATATAATCCTAGCTATAATACTCAACAATGAGATTTAATTAAAAAAAAAATGGATAATCAATAGTGGAATAACAAAATTAACAAAATGATAAACACATTTGATATGAATAAATTCAGGTGAATAACCTTAAAATGCTAAATCTTACAAACCTAAATGACTTTTCGAGTGAGTTTAAGAATGGAACTGTTTTTTCTTAGAAAATATAAATAAAAGGAATCACATTTCCAAAACAAAATAAGAAATAGTATTCATCACTAATTCCATTCAAAATAATACTATAATCTTTTGTTATGAGGTAGAAACTATAGATGCAACTACTTTTGACTATAAAAGAAGGAAATTGAATTGAAAACATTCCTACCGTACTACTCAATTGTGAAAGATGAATGGAATTATAATCCTCTAAACATTACTTTTTTGGTTTTCCTATTTCCCTATACTTTTTGTCCCATTTATCCTTATTTCATTTTCAGCAATTGATCATTTGGAACATATGACAATAGACGTACAAATGTAAAAAACGCAGATGGATAAGAAGAACAAACACTAACATGTTCCTCAATCCACACGCCCAACATACGATAATAAAGATAAATGGGCCGGGCTGATAATAATGAATAAGCCCAGTTTTTTTTTTAAAGCCTCTCATAGTGCTTTTATCTACAACTATAAATAATATTTGTTTCATCCTCGATAATGTATGAACTAATCTTTCATTTTATGTTTTGAAGTCTTTTAGTCTATAGACCAATATTTGTTGAATGAAGTCGAAGTAGAAAAATAAACAAAATCAGTTCTAACAAAAGCCCGATTGGTTTGCTCGGAAACTTGAGTTATACAACATATGCTTCAAAAAAACAACTAAACCGTTCTTTAATCTTTAGCCAGACCAAACAAGTAATAATAACTCAGATACGACAAAATATAGTCTCAAATCGACAAAACCAACTACAAAGAAGAAAACCAAGTGAATGCGTTTAATCGAACAAGCCGAATCCCAAATCTCCATCACTCTCTTCTGCTGGTTCATCCTGCAAAGAACATATTACCAAAATCAGATCAATTTTCTATTACAGAGTCGTAAGAAGAATGTTTTTCCTTATAGTTGTTATTTCATTTACCTTCTTCTTCTCCTCGGCAGCAGGAGCAGCTGCTGCAGCACCACCGCCAGCAGCTGGGGCAGCAGCTGCAACCGGAGCACCACCTCCACCACCAGCACCAACGTTCATGATGAGATCAGTCACGTTACGTTTCTCAGCCATCTTGGCGAATAGCATTGGCCAGTATGACTCAATACTAACACCAGCAGCTTTCACCAAAGTCGCGATTTTGTCAGCCTATCAAACACAACAAATTCAACGACATAAACAAACAAAAGCAAAGACCTTTATCCAATTCAACGCAAACTTATAAACCAATTCAAACATAGACAGAAACACAAATAAATATTCAATTCCTGACTAAAAACTCTACCACATCCTTATCACTCCATAAAACAACATATTCACTAAGTTTCTAACAATGAAGTCACAAGAACGGCTCCAAATCCTAAAACTCCATGACCAATCAAGAATTAGAAAATAGAAAAGTAAAAATAAAAGAAACATACCGTGATAGCAATACCCTCATCTTCGAGGATCATAACAGCGTAGCTGCAAGCAAGCTCACCAACTGTCGACATTTTATATCCTGAAACGATTCAAGAACAGTAACAAAAGATTAATATCTTATTCACAAATCAGAATCCAAAAAACGAAACTTTAAATCCGTTTAAAGCCAAAATTAAAGTGAATCAAACAACCTAGACGATAATGAAATGACAATCAAAAAGTGTAAACAGATCAAATGGAGAATCATAGAGTACCTTAGAGTAAGGTCGAAAATGCTTTCGCAAGGCGGCTCGAGAGAAAAATTTCTAGGGTTTTGATAAAGAGACGGGAGATGCAAAGGTTATAAAGCTTGTGTCCCAGAATTTGATGGGCCGAATAGTTAGGCCCATTTTATTATTTTGATATATTTGTTCTCAATATTGGCCTTTTATACGCTTTTACCTAATAGCCCTGAATAAATAAAAGATAAGAGCCCAAATGAAGAGATTTGACTTTGACCAGATTTAAAAATAAAATAAAAATTGGTTGGGTTCCTAGGGAACGACCACCGTGGTCCATCATGCACGTGACAGCACGAGCTTGGTCAAGCAATACTTGATGGATGTCCTTTTCCAGTAACATAATTCTTCATTTGATATATTTATTGTCATTAATAATCATATGTTCTAATATCATTTTTTCTTGTTAGTTTCAACTATCAGCCTTTTTGTCTAGTACATTCCTCTTGGTCCCAAAATCACAAATTATATTAGTTCCCAAACTTTCTTTTTAGTTCCCAAACTTTCTATACTTCACAAAATCATGTAGTATAACGGTTTTGTAACATGAAGCTTTGATTCCCAAAACATTATCACAGTTTGGTTGATCTGCTTTATAGTGATATTTCTTAGATTATAAGATCCTTTACTTTCACAAGGAATAGGCTTATTAGGTCCAGGTAATAAAAAAAATGATTATACAATTTATTCTCGGTCATCCTACCATTCCAACAATATTTAAATACATAATAGTGGTAAAAAATAACCCATGCGCTAAGACCATGGGCAGTGGAGCAAGTGTGAGGGTGTAAACTTTTTTTTATTATTATAATTTAAAGAGAGATAGAAAAGAGAGAGAAAAAAAAAGAGAGAGAGAGAGGGAGAGTGTGTGTTACACCCGAGTGTAAAGTTACACCCGGATGTGAAGAGAGAGACAATTTTCTTCTTTTTTTATTACCTCTAACACCCTTCAGCTTGCTCCACTGTGGATGCCTTAAGCCAAAATTGGCATTTAGTAGAAATAACAGAAAATATGAAAGTAATTTGTAGATTATCGAGCTAAAACAACGTGCAATCTCTCTCTCCCTATGACCCTATCTACATGGTATATTATCCCGCACGGTATAATCAACATGGACCCAAAAACGAATATATTCATGTTAATATCGATGCAAACAAAATAAATTAATACTATGTATTTGGCGAAAAGATAAATTTATTAAAGAGAAAAATTATTGGTGTCGTGGTTGCAGTAAAAGAGGTGGTCAGACACAGAGCAAGGTCATGTTTGTTTCTCCATCCAAATGATCCATCTAGATGGAGATGAAAAATGATGTTTGTTTTTGACAATTTAACAAGCATTTGGATGGATCATCTAGATGATCCATGTGAATGAGTTTTTAAATTTAGGCAAATTTATGAAACTCATTTGGATGAACTTGATTGAACCATTTGGATGGAGATGGTTCATTCAAAAAGAACAAAAGACAAATATACCCTCTTATACAATCATATTATTTTCTATAGATTTCTTATTTAATATTTTTAAAATTACATATTGGAACCAAAAAATACTCTAAAAATCATGAAATCACGGATTATTATTTTACGTCAAAATCGTAAAATCGTGGAATTGCGTTTTTCTGCGAAAAACTGTAAAATCATAATTTTTGATGTAAAATTATAGAAAACGCTATTCCACCAAAACTGTAAAATTACATTTTTTGCCAAAACCGCAAAATTATTAAATCATATTTTTCCGCCAAAACTGCAAAATCATATTTTTCCGCCAAAACTGCAAAATCATATTTTCCCGCCAAAACCGCAAAATCATGTTTTCCCGCCAAAACCGCAAAATCATGTTTTCCCGGCAAATTGAAAAATCATATTTTCCCGCCAAAACTGCAAAATCATATTTTCCCGCCAAAACCGCAAAATCATGTTTTCCCGCCAAAACTGCAACATTGTATTTTCCCGCCAAAACCGCAAAATCATGTTTTCCCGCCAAAACTGCAAAATCATAATTTCCCGCCAAAACTGCAAAATCATATTTTCCCGCCAAAACCGCAAAATCATGTTTTCCCGCCAAATTGGAAAATCATATTTTTCCGCCAAAACTGCAAAATCATATTTTCCCGCCAAAACTGCAAAGTTATGTTTTCCGCCAACGGCAAATCATATTTCTTATCATATTAATTTTTTTCGTTAAAAATCACAAAAAACACATTTTCCCGCCGAAACAGAAAAATTATATCTTTTGCCAAAACCTGCAAAATCATGTTTTCCGGCTAAACTTGTATAATTATTTTGTATATATTTTGATAACTATAAATAAAATTAATTTTTATATGTTAAAATAATAATTTATTTAGTTTTTATATGTGATTATTTGTCAAAATGAAAACATGGATATTTTAGTCATTTTGGTCTATATGAGATTTAGGATGAATTACAAAATGATCAAACAAAAAAAAGATCCATTTGAATGAAATAACAAATATTAAAACAAACATCATTCAAATGCATCATCCAAATGAATCATCTAAATGGACCATTTGAATGCAAATGTAAAATGATGAAACAAACAAATGCTTACTTCTTACAAACAAATAAGCAACCAAAGATTATCTGTACTTCCTGTTTCTCTCTCTCTCTCTCCTTATTTCTGAAAAAATCTAAAGCTAAAATAACTAAATCTCAACCTCACGGAACACCGATACATAAAGACAATGGAGTGGTAATAATTTGTTAAGACCAAAAGTAAACACATGGGGAAAAAGAACGGCTCTTCTTCTTGGCTTACCGCCGTGAAACGAGCTTTCCGATCTCCGACCAAGAAAGATCACAATAACGACGTCGAAGAAGATGAGGAAAAGGTTTGTCATTCTTATTAGATCTTATTATTTGCTTACTATAATCAAGTTTGATATTGTTTTTCATTTACTTCTGCTTTGCTCTGTTTTTTTAACAGAAGAGAGAGAAGAGACGGTGGTTTAGAAAGCCGGCGACTCAAGAATCTCCGGTGAAGTCTTCCGGTATCTCTCCGCCGCCACCACCGCAAGAATCAGTTATCGTAAACACAAAAACCTCCCCGGAGACAGCACCGAGTTACACAACGACGACGCCGCCAACGAACGCCGGAAAACCCCCGTCAGCCGTCGTCCCCATCGCCACGTCAGAATCTAAGGCGCTCCCACCGAGGCGGATTTATTACGCAAGAGAAAATTACGCTGCTGTTGTTATCCAGACTTCTTTCAGAGGATATTTGGTGAGCAATTATTAATTAGCAATATTTTACTTAATTTTTTTAACCAACTTGAGTTCTAGACCACTTTATAGTGACAATGATGTGTTATACAAGACCTAACATTAAAAGATTGTGATTTCATTTTATTTTATTTTTGTTTGTTTGGTTTTGATCCAAGTTTTGTTCCTTCTAATTTGGTTAAGGCAAGAAGAGCATTAAGAGCATTAAAAGGGTTAGTGAAGCTGCAAGCATTAGTGAGGGGTCATAATGTGAGAAAACAAGCCAAAATGACATTAAGATGTATGCAAGCTCTGGTTCGAGTCCAGTCGCGTGTGCTTGACCAACGCAAACGCTTGTCTCATGACGGTAGTCGCAAATCCGCGTTCAGCGACTCTCACGCTGTTTATGAATCTCGCTATCTTCAAGATATTTCAGATCGACAATCTATGGTTAGTATAGGTTTCTAGGCCTTGCCTAAACTATATCATTGGGGCCTTTTTATAATTATAGACATGTTTTGCTTTATAGTTATACATATGGTTAAGCTGTTTTTAGCATGCTTGTCTAACTTTGTGGTGCATTCACATAGGTTCTGTAGAATTTGTTTGCCTTGACTGTTTATTTACGTTAACATTAATTGTATATATTTATCAAATCAACTCACAATTTAAACATCTTAAGCAAATATTTTTGTTAATTGTAAATTGCGTTTGTAATTTCATATGGTGGCTAACGTCTTTTGGAATTTGGTTATGTATTTGTTGTAGTCAAGAGAAGGAAGCAGCGCCGCGGAAGATTGGGATGACCGACCACACACGATAGACGAAGTGAAAGCGATGCTACAACGAAGACGGGACACAGCATTGAGACATGAGAAGACTAATTTGTCTCAAGCTTTCTCTCAACAGGTAAAATTAACTTAACCGGCAAAAAATGCTTAAAGTATATATGCAGAACTTGTTGATAACACAGTTTCGTTTCAATGGATAGATGTGGAGAACGGTTCGTAACCAATCCGTGGGAGGAGACCACGAGGTAGAACTTGAGGAGGAAAGACCAAAATGGCTTGACCGGTGGATGGCTACTAGACCGTGGGATAAACGAGCTAGTAGTAGAGCTTCGGTTGACCAAAGGGTTTCGGTTAAAACCGTTGAAATCGACACTTCTCAGCCTTACTCAAGAACAAGAACAGGAAGCCCGAGTTGTAGTCAAAGACCTAGTTCCCCATCAAGAACTAGCCACCATTACCAATCCCGCAATAACTTCTCAGCCACTCCATCTCCAGCTAAATCTAGACCAATACTTATTCGGTCAGCTAGTCCGCGATGCCAGAGAGACCCGAGGGAAGACAGGGACCGAGCAGCTTATAGTTATACATCAAACACACCAAGCTTGAGATCTAATTATAGTTTCACAGCTAGGAGTGGATGTAGCATTAGTACCACAATGGTTAATAATGCATCATTGTTGCCTAATTACATGGCTAGTACGGAGTCGGCTAAGGCGAGGATCCGGTCTCAGAGCGCACCGAGGTACCGACCCTCAACTCCCGAGAGGGACCGTCCGGGTTTGGTCAAGAAACGGCTCTCGTACCCTGTACCCCCGCCAGCGGAATATGAGGACAATAATAGCTTAAGGAGTCCAAGCTTTAAGAGTGTGGCTGGTTCACATTTTGGTGGAATATTAGAGCAGCAATCGAATTACTCTTCATGTTGCACTGAGTCTAATGGTGTTGAGATCTCTCCAGCTTCTACTAGTGACTTTAGGAATTGGCTTAGATGATTGTTGGTGATGCCAAATCAACGGTCACGATCTTATCATCCTCCAGGAAAAAAAAACATTTTCATTTTAGTTGTGTGTTGAGGTTGAGTTGTATTTGGAAGAAAGATTTATTAACCAATTGATCTGTAACTTTTTAAGATTTTGAAATGTTTAATGATTTTAATTGATTATTATATATACTATTTTTTTTTTTTTTTTTTTTATATATACTATTGAAGTTCGTAGATTTTCAAAAGAATGTTTGTTTGCATTTTAAAAGCCAACAAATTGCAATATGTTAAAATATCTTATAGTCTGTTTCAGATAACAAATCATCAGATAGTTAAAAGAAGAAGAAATAACAGTGACATATACAAATCTCTGTTTCTTAAATGAATGACATATACAAATCTCTGTTTCTTAGATCTTTTTTTTTTGGCCTTTTGCAGGATTAAAAATTTTGGATAAAAAGATTTGAATCTTGCACTTTAGCCCCAGAATTACCGTTTTTGATGATTTTGATGCAAAAGTGAGACTCGTAAACCTTTAGAGAATGAGCTAAAAAAGTAAAAAAGCTGCAACTTTGCTACTTGAAACACGAGCAGAGGACATCACCCCATGTGACATGATTCCCCAACATCACAAGTCTTGTCTTTTTGACGTTCACACACAATTCCTTATCACTTTCCACCTCTGATAAATATCTATTGTTTTCTATCCAAGCTTTTTTTTTTTCTTTTGGAATAATGTTTTTTTGTAAATTAAAATTATATCTAATATCTATAGTCAGTAAAAACAGAAAATTTGATAAAACAAATCAACAATGTTTGAGCAAAGAAAAAAAAACAGTGAAACTCAAACGTTTCTCCAATAAGAAAAGGAGAAACTCCAAAACGGCACGTAGTTAACCTCTGCTGAACTAGAACGGCATGGATTGCTAGTTCTGGCAGTTTAAAACCCTTTATATCCGATATTTTAAATGGGCTTTTAGGAAAACGACGTTAATGGACCTAGACAGTGAACTTATGGGGGATTTAAGTGTATGGTAAGAAGACTTCGAAGGTGCGACATATATGATCCCAGCACATGTACTGGTGGTCATGGTCTTCTCTAACACGGCCCAATGGGCATTAAAGAGATCTACCAAGTACTGAACAGAAAAACATAAGGAGCTGGCATGGTGTAGTAATCAGCCTCCTGGAAAAAGTGGAAAACGTGTTACATTTATTATGCTGAAAGGACTCGAGTGCATTGAAGACAACTAAAGACACTGGCAAATCTGACATGGTTTTTTTTATAAAATTTAATGTTTTTGCTTTTTTGGTTGTTATATGTTGGCAGCAGCCAACTAGTTATACGCAGATGCTGGTTCAACTAACTTGACCTATACGAGTTGTTGACCGAACTAATGGTTCAAGACTTTCAAGAACAAAGAGAAATTGGAATGGAATTGTTTGTATATTTTCTTAGATTCTTTCTCTCATTGACTCTCTTCGTTTGAAGACGAATATACATTCTATAATATGTGGTCGAAATATAACATTATATAACGTTGAAAAAAAAATTAAAATTAAAATCTATGGAATAGTAATGGATAACGTTTGGTTCAAAAAAATCCAAAATTGTTGAATGAATGAATCTACACCACAAATTCGCAAAAAGAAAAAAGAAGGTGTATAAATTAATTGGAGCCAGCGTAGATTAGTATTTGATACTTGATAGTAGTATGCAAGTTATGCTTTATGGGTGTGTCATTCACATTCAGTCATGCGTGTGAACGCAGAGATAGAGGATTAGAATTCTGTTTGACTTAAGTTAAATTTTCAAATTTCTGGTTTACCAAAAGTGTGAATAATCAACTAACATATACCAAACACACATCCATAAATTAATTAAATTATATGATTTTCAATCGACATTTTACATAAAAAAAATAAAAAATAAAAACAAGAAGAGCACAATTACATATAATGATTATCCGGTTCAACAAATCATTGTACAACTTTAACCGGATATTGATCAATCGAACCAGCCCACGCATTACCAGTCATCTCCTCCGTCGAAATTGGTCGTAACGCTTTCCAAACCGCACTATTACACTTGAAACCCGATCCAAACGCAATCTGCCAAAGTCGATCACCGGCTTTAACCCGACCCTTAGCTTCCGTATAAGCCATCTCATACCAAAGCGAGCTACTCGAAGTGTTACCAAACCGGTGCAAAGTCATTCTAGAAGGTTCCATGTGCCAATCTTTGAGATCAAGATTCTTCTGTACTTCGTCTAGAACAGCTCTACCTCCTGCGTGAATGCAGAAATGCTCGAAAGCAAGCTTGAAATCCGGAATATACGGTTTCACTTTTAGCTTGAACATCTTCCTTTTGACCAATGAAATCAAGAACATCAACTGTTCCGACAATGGAAGAACCATAGGTCCTAAAGTAGTGATGTTTGTTTTCAGAGCGTCTCCGGCAACAGACATGAGCTCTCGAGCTAAAGAGACACCGATTGTTCCTCTCTCGTCTTCCTTCTGGTACACGCAATTGTAGTTCTTGTCGTCTGATCCTTTATGTGTTCGAACGACGTTGACCAGCGAGTACTTTGACTTCTTCCGGTCTTGTCGGCGGTTAGAAAGGAGAATCGCAGCTCCGCCCATTCGGAAGATGCAGTTGCAGAGGAGCATTGACCGGTCATTTCCAAAGTACCAATTTAGGGTTATGTTTTCCGTGCTTACCACGACAGCGTAAGAATTAGGGTTTGCTTTGAGGAGGTTGTTTGCGAGATCGATTGAGATTAATCCGGCAGAGCAACCCATTCCTCCGAGGTTGTAGCTTTTGATGTCTTCTCTCATCTTGTAATGGTTCACGATCATCGCTGATAGAGACGGCGTCGGATTGAATAAGCTGCAGTTTACTATCAAGATTCCAACTTCGGCCGGTTTAATTCCGGTTTTCTCGAAGAGGGAATCTAAGGCTCCGAACATAACGGCTTCAGCTTCAGCACGTGCCTCTGACATATTTAGCTTCGGGGGTTTTGAGGTTATGCCACGTGGTAGATAAGTCTCGTCTCCTAAACCGGCCCGGTTCGAGATTCTTTGCTGGAATTGAACCGTGTCATCGGTGAACGATCCATTTTCCTCCGTCATCGTCAAGAACGAATCTACCGATATTTTACGCTCGTCTTCCGGTTTGTAGCAAGAGAAATCCACTAGGTAAACCGGTTTAGTCCGGTTGGCCACGTAGAGGGTCAAAACGAAGCAGAGGAAAACCAAGCAGGTGAGTCTCGTCGCCGTGTCGAGTTGAACCGCCTGGTTAGACCAAAGCTCAGAGAACGTATCGAACGTTAGACCGGTTAGCTGAACCAGCACGGTTCCGGTTAAGGGAAGAATAATTAGAAAGAAGAGAATGGTGGTGAGGTTGCAAGAGTTGTGAAGTCCAAGCTTCACGTATTTGAGCTTAACGGACGTTAACAAATCCGGCAAACGTCTCCGGATTCTTATAACGGCCGATGATGAATCTCGAAACGCCATCTCCGCCGTTAGTCTCTCTCGATCCATCTCAATGCTGTTTGTTCTCTCCATGAGTATAGGTTTGGGTCGAAATATTTCAAACGTAAATCAAGGATTGAAGAAAAAATGCAAATGATTAATCTTTAGGCAAATTTGGAGAAAGAGAAAGAGAGAGAAAACGAGAATGAGAATTCTAAAATTGGTGAATTAGGAGGATTTTGGTGAAATGAGGGCAAGTAGGAATGGAGAGATATATAGAGTTGCTATTAAGTGCAAGAAAGAGAAAAGATAAAAAAAGATTAATAATAGTATGACTTAACAAAAAAAATAAAAAGATGGAATAATATTCGAATTTAATGGTGGGTGGTTCCGAGATACTACTATTAGCTCAACTACTTATATGGGACCTTTATATTAAATTAAGTAGTCAGATTATTTGTCATGTTTTGTTCACACGAAATGCAAGTTATAAAAGTCTAACAAAACCTAGCTGAATCTCATAAGTCATATGGTAGATCATAAATTTGGTTATATTTTTTTTTCACACATAAATTAAGGCATCTTAACTTTCTATTTTGGTTTAACCTAATTTGCTAATTACACCACTACAATAACAACAAATTATGAACGCTTTATTATGTATTTCCTTATAGTTAAACCAAAACGTTTCAGACTCCCATGACGTTTTTCTTGCTTCATTAGCAAGTGTATATAGTTATATCGAAAACTGACAGAGGCAAAGTTTTAAAATTACCTATTGGATATATATAATAAGTTGATGAAATATTTTGTAGTAAAATGTAAGTTTAAAGGGAGAACGTGTTCGAGACACGTTTCTTTCATTCATGAGAAGCGTTCCCTGTCCAAATTGCAAGGATAAGGGTAGACGAAAGCGTGTCCCAAATATTCAAATTTTGTTATCCTATACTATTATTTGGGGAGTACAATTTATGGATTACCCTTAATTAACCTTCCCCTTTGTAAGAATTTACTTAAAAATGCCATTAGAAATAAAATTTTATAGAGTAAATTAATTCAACTCATTAAGGATAAACAAGTCAAATACTATTTTATGCAATTTAATTAATTTAATTTAATTATAAAAACGAAAATCTATTATTAATTTCTTTAAAAAGAATGACCAATCAAAATGAACATATAAGATTTGATATCTAACTTTCCATATTAATTTGTTATTAATCATTATACTTCACCTCTCATTTTTATATGATTCTATTTCTATAAATAAATAAATCATTATATCATCTATATAATAAAAAAAGTAAATTTTTTTCCGCATATACCAAGATTTGAATTTTTAAAAACGAATATAAATTATTCAATGTATGAAAGAACAAATTTAACGGGTCAAAAATTCATATTTGAGTAATATATTCTTTTTTTTAATATCATCAATACTTAATAGATCAAAAATTTATGAAGTATAAATACTCTAATTTGATTTTTTGAAACAAATATTTATAATAGGCGGCGGGTTTAATATAATATATTATATGATGAAATGAGTTATGATCCTTATAACTATTTGAATATTTATATTTAATTTCATATCATTTTTTTTTATTTCATAATTTTACATAATACAATAAAAATTTTTAAAAATTTTAATTTGGAACATTTTAAAATAGTTTAATTTAATATATTAAAGAATATCATAAATATTTAATAGATTAAAAAGATAAAAAAAAATTATAAATACATTAATTTGATTTTCTAAAAAGATATCTTTAAAATATTTATAGTAGGCGGCGGGTTAAATGTAATGTATTATATGGTAGATAGTTATGATCCTTATAACAGACGGCATTTTAAGATTTTATGATGAGATGAGTTAAATAAGGTTTGACACTTCTAAATATTTTAAAATTTGATTCTGCATGCAATTTTGAAAATAATAAATAATAGATTGTGCCGCAATATTTTCATACGAATTGTAAAATGAAAATATAGAATCCACACACGGATTGAATTTGGTATTATTATATACCAAATATATGTTCATAACATATTTGATTATGTGAATAATTGGTAAATTCCGTAATTAGCTCAAACAAATCTCTATTTCAACAACCAATGAATCAGAATTTGAAAAATAATTTTCTAAATTAATTCAAAATAACAGCTAATTTTCTTAAGTAATTCAAAATAATCTACGTTTTAGATGCGATTCATTTATGATATTTTGATTTTTGATCTAACTAAATTATATGCACTCTCATTTTGTGGTTGTTAACATAAATTAACTCATTGTTCAAACAATATTAATTTTTTTTAAAAATAATCTTATTTTCCGTTTTCATATCTTAAAAAAAACATCCATAATTGAATACTATAGAAAAAGGAAAATATATTCATTCTAATATTATATATATGGACTGACAAAAAATATTATTTTTTTCACTTACTATTATAATATATCACAACTTTATTCTAAAACATAAAATTTATAAATTTTGTAATAAATGAAATTCAACCCGTACTACAGTACGGGTGATGATCTAGTTTTTTTGTATAAATGTGTATCCTACATGCATACAAACTCCTTATTATGGGCCATAGTAAATTAATGATAGTAAATTATATTACTTCTTAATATTAACACATTTCGATTTGTTTTTCCATTATATACCATCCCTATTAGCTGTTCCAATATTGTTGTCATTATCATTTATAATTTTGCTGTCTTCATTAAGACGTTTATATAAAGGACCCTTGAATTAATTCCATATTTTTATTTTATGAAGAAGTAATTAATTTTGGAGTATTTTATATCTAGTTTTCGAGTATTTTTGTATCTATAATACAATTGATTGTGCCAAGGTGTCCAAAATAGACCTCGGACGGGTAGTTGTAGCTAGCTTGTAGCTTTGTAGGTAAAAATGCTCGGATTTAGGTCCCAAAGTGGACTTATTGTCTCTGTTTTTTCATTGGGATAAAGTTATTGATAAAATTTAAATTTATTCTTAGTTAATCATTTCTAGTGTCGTGATTACTGGGAAATAATAAAGAGGGAGAAAACAAAGACAAAAGGCAGCGACGTCGTTTCGATGAATCGTGCTTACTGCATGAAACACATGTTTCAACAGTACGTACCAACTCTCAAACTTCAATAGTAGAACGATCCAATTCATTAGCTGGTAATAATTCATATATTTAGGTTTATGTATATGCATGTACAGTATATTGAACAATGGAAGATTAATCAATAAACAGATCAAAGTATTAATTTGTTAAATAAAGGAAATAATGATGATAATAAATGGAAGACTAGTACCCATGTGTAGACATAAACCACAATTAATGTTGGTCGGCTTAATACCAACTAACTAGAAACCAGTTCGTCATCAATGTGTATGTACACACTCACATCTATACAATAATTTAAAAAGGACTAACAATTTAAATGGTTACAACATAAATAAACGATATAGCCTATATAAAACAAGCGAAAAAAGGTTTGAAAAAAAAAACAAGTCGAAAAAAGGTTGATGTTGGCTATATAATATGAACAGTACTACTACAGTACTACATGCTTCAAAATACCGAATGATTCATTAAGTTGAAACTTTAACTAATCATTTTAACGATTAGAGTAATTATTTTGTCTTGGCGTTGTATTTGAATCTTCAGTATAATAATATTATCGATTTTAATGGTTTTCAAAACAAAAAATTTTAGTCCCGACTAATAAAAGTTGTGATTGTAATTTCATACTAATATATGTAAATATACATATTTGATCACGAGTTTGTCCAAAACAAATATATAAATTTGATCACGAATGATCCAAATCCAATTTGTGAACTATTGAAAAATGTCAATATATATCATCAATCACCAAATAAATAAAATCTATCATATGTTTCTGTTGCCATATCGTAGTCATTTGTTATTGAAAAATATATGGATTAGCAAGATAATAGCGACAAATGATCAAGTCTTTTATCCGCCACAATTTCATTGCCAGTTTTATCGTAGACATGGAACAATCCTCGGGCCTTGGCTATATTCAACAGTTGTTTTGTTGTAAAATCACTATTTGAGTTGCAATTTATTAACCAATCCCATTTGTACAAAACTATATAAACTCCTTTTTTCTGAAAAATAATCGAAATAGAACATTATACCCAGTTATCATTGTGTTTTCCAAATTGTTATCGATATTGTGTCATTGTAACGCGTTGCAACCGTAGCCATAAAGTGACAATATTGTTTCAACTATACTCAAATAGCGAACTTCCCGAGTATGACTAATTGAATTGTTTAAACTTTGACTTACAGGTTTGACTCAAAATCAAAAGTAAACCAAACCGAGTTTTGAGGATGATCGCATATGGCTATTGGCTAACCTATGGATCTACCTCTATAGCCCAATTCTAGGTTTGGCTTTGTGTCAGCAATATTTCTATTTTGCCAACTCCAGAATGTTTTACTATTCAATTCATTATACATGTTCAACTTTAATTAAAAACTTTTGAACAACTTGCTATTTCTTATTGCTTCTGTTCTTCAGCAGTTGCATCAGTATTCCAGACTACATCCTTTAATCCAGATGAGAAGGTTTTGTAGAACTGCAAAAGATATTTAAACATAAACCCAATTAAAACAAATAAATTAGAGATGTTAACCGGATCAAAACCGAACCGGTTTCTGATGAAGATTAGAGATGTTTACCTACTTTCTACAACAACAAAAACTAAACAGATAAAATTAAAAAAGCTCCAAAAGCTTAAAAATTAAGGAAACTTAAAACCTAATGATTTCAACATCTCAACAGAGCTCTGGCTTTGATTAGCTTTGTCTTCTTCAACCTTGTCACCGGAATTTCGAAGCAGAGCTTCAATGATTTCTTTAAAAGGTATAATCTCTTCTTTCTCTTTCTCTTTCTTTTTCTCTTTATCTTTCTTCTTCTTCTTTCTTCCATCTTCTTTCCATTTCCCACCACCCCATTCATACGACGGATCCATCCACGGCGGCAACACTCTCCTCGCCGATGATTCTCCGGCGACGTTTCTTTCCTTGTCTGAAACCCTAGTTTCGATCTCTTTCGGTTGATTCGATCTCGCGTTATCAGATTCTGGTGAAATGGGAACAGAAACCATTACGACTCTCTCTTCCGGATCCACCGGAGGAGTTAAATCCCAATCACCCAAAATCTCTTCTGAACTCTCTGTATCTGAACGTTTCTCCATTCTAAAAAACTTCGTAATTCGAAATAGGCTAAACTGTTAAAGAGACTTTATGGGCTTTTTGACAAAAAAAAAAAAGAGAGACATTATGGGCTTTTTGATTTGAAAGATTAGACAACTCAGAGAACTTGTTGGACTATTAATTTTAGTTGGCTTTATACCAAGTTACCAACTAACTAGAAACCACTCCGTCATCAATACACAATCACATCTACATAATAATTTTAAAAGGACTAACAATATAAATGGTTGCAAAATTAATAAACGACATAATAACCTTACATGAAACAAGCGGATTAGCAACATAATAGCGACAAATCATCAAGTCTTTTTTCCGCCACAATTTTATTGCTAGTTTATCGTAGACATGGACAATCTATATCCTTGGGCCTTGACTATATTCAACAGTTGTTTTTGTTGTAAAATCACTATTTGAGTTGCAATTTATTAACCAATCCCATTTGTACAAAACAAAACTCTTTTTTTTTTTTTTGAAAAAAATCAAAATAAAACTTTAAACTCAGTTTTACTATTGTTATCTATGTTGTGTCATTGTAACGCGTTGCCAACAGTAGCCATAATGTGACAACATTGTTTCAAATTTCAACTATGCTCAAATAGCGAACTTCCCGAGTCTGACTAATTGAATTGTTTGAACTTTGACTTGTAGAAGTAAATCAAACCGAGTTTTGAGAATGATCACATATGGCTATTGGCTAACCAATGGATCTACCTCTATAGCCCAATTCTAGATTTGGCTTTGTGTCAGCAATAATATTTCTATGTTGCCAACTCTCAGAATCTTTTACTATTCATTATAAATGTTCAACTTTAATTAAAACCATTGAATTGAACAACTTGCTATTTCTTATTGCTTTTGTTCTTCAGCGGCTGCTTCAGTATTCCAGACTACATCCTTTAATCCAGAAGAGAAGGTTTTGTAGAACTGCCAAAGATATTTAAACATAAACCCAATTACAACAATAAACTAAAGATGTTAAACGGATCTAAACCGAACCGGTTTTTGATGAAGATCAAACCGAAACACATACCTTGTGAAACTCGAGGGTATCACCGCCTGTTTTCCTAAGCTCTACCACATGCAACGATGGCGCCACTTCAAACACCTATAATACCGATAACCAAACCAAAAAATTAGATACCGGTATTCATCAAACCGGGATGTTTATCATTCCTATCTGTTTTTTTCCTTTTTCTTACCTCTGTAGCTACGGAGAGCTGACCTTTACGACCACTTTTGTCTCCTTTCATTTTTATCTGCGATTTGATCAAACAATGTTTAATGAACACAAAGATATTAATTGACACAGAGAAAGTCAAGAAGAAGAACAAACCTTGTAGTTGTCTTTACGGACATTGAAACCTAATGGCTTTGCGGTTTCTTCCATTTTCGACATTATTTCACTGGCAGATCTTTGAGAAGTAAACCGCGTTTCTTTCTTCACAAGTTGCTGCAACCAACAACAAATCAGCTTTAGTTAGACAAAACCTATGAATGATTTTAGAAAATCAAGACAAACTGTAAGTAGAAAAAAGTTCGTACCGCTTGCTTCTCGAACAAGTTTTCAAGACTGAATTCGCTTGAGCTAGAGATAAGTTCGAAAGCGTTCATGGATACCGGTTTCTCCTTCTTCTCTGTTACAAGACATTCCTAGAGTAGTAGCACAAAACAGTAATATTAGTTGGTAATACAATACATTCCTAGAGTACACATTCAGATGGAGAATTGGTGGTTTTTTACCTTGGAGTTACTAAAAGCAGCATCAACATCATCTATGGTTATGTCCTCATCATCTTGGTCAAACGATGGCGGCTTGTACCCTTTCTTGAACCATTCATCTTCTAGTAACTCTGCAATACTTATTCTCTGCATTTCAGAAAATAAGTACATAGTTAAGCTCTTGCACAGTTTAGACCATTTGATGTATGGTTCGCAGCATCTCATGTTCACATTTCACAACTATTCATTCATGTAAGAGAGCACTTACGGTTATAGGGTTGGGTTCGAGAATACGCTTAATGACTCTCTTGGCACCTGGAGAGAACCATGGTGGGCAGCTAAACTCAGCCTTGCATATCTGAAGTATATGTTAAACACCAAAGATGAGACTAGAAAAGTACTGCAGAAAATTAAGGAGCAGAGGAAGAGAAATGTTTACACGTACACGTTTGTATAATGTCATGAGATTTGGCTCATCAAAAGGCAAGTAACCAGCCATGAGCACAAAGAGAATAACACCACAAGACCAGACATCTGCTGCTGCACCATCATAGCCTTTGTCTGATAAAACCTGCCCGCAAATCCAACAAAATGCAGTAGACATTAATATCTTATAGACATCATAAATAGAGAAGAGTCTGCAAATGAAGTCTATATATAAATGACTCTATCTCATTTGGTAGATTTTCTTCCTTTTTAAAAAGTAGTTCTAAAATTCCTTAAAACCTTCATTTCATATCCTTTGCCTTTTTAAGTGCTGCAAGTTAGTATATAATACCTCAGGAGCAACGTAGTTTGGCGTTCCACAAGCTGTGTGAAGCAAACCATCTTCCTGCATTCAAAAGAATAAGGCTTAGAACACTTCATTCAAATTGATATCTTGGTTATATATATCAGAAAATTGCCAAGTTTCCATGATGTCCAAGTGAAAAATCAAGTGACATTACCCGAACTTGTCGTGAGAAGGCGCTTAGCCCAAAATCAGAGACTTTTAAAACCCCATTTGCATCAAGGATAAGATTTTCAGGCTGCAACAAGAAACAGGACATAACATATGAAACTTGAAGAGGATGAATATCATATCGCAGGAAATAAGAAGACCGTACAAAAAAAAAAAAAAAAGACCTTGAGATCTCTGTGGTAGACACCTCGACTGTGGCAGTAATCCACAGCATTGATGAGCTGCTGAAAATATCGCCTAGCTTCATCCTCCTTAAGTCTCCCTTGTTGCGCCTATGCATCATTCAAATCCAAGAATTAACATAAGTAAGAGCAGAGGAAAACAGAGAACATCTCAATATTTGTGAAGAAAAAGGAGAGGAAGAATCTCTAAGTTAGGTTACTTACGATTTTATCAAAGAGTTCACCTCCATTGACAAGCTCAAGAACGATATAGATCTTCGTTTTGCTCGCCATAACCTACCATAGAGAGGTTTTACACGCTAAGATTCAAAACCTAATTAAAGTATCTAAGGAACAAAAGCAGATTAGATTCATACCTCAATGATTTCAACCACATTTGGATGTTTAATCAATTTCATTGTCGATATCTCTCTTTTAAGCTGCACAACAACAAAAAGGAAACTTTATGCTCATTATATCTTCAAGATCTTGCTCATAACTTCCAATCATAGCATACAAAAACTATATCTTCCTCAGATTCCATCGAACCAAAAAAAAAGCTACTCTAACTTCAAAACCATATCCTAGTTATCTTGAACAATGCGTACTAAGATCGGCATCGTATACATAGATACCAAGATCTTCAAATCCATATACACAGAAACATAACATTCAAACAAAATTCGATATTTTTTTAATATAATTTTTTGAACTTTAATCAATCATTAACCTTAATAACCTAACACCAACCTAGGACATGTGGGTCCGTAATCACGAAATTAAACTGTTCTTTATACTTAAAAAACAAATCCATAATCTTTACGTGCTTTCGTAATCAAACCAAACACAATTACGACACGAACCTGTTCGACCATTTTGTGACGGAAGACCTTTTCTCGGTCAAGGATTTTGATAGCGGCTTGATCTCCAGTGACGGTGTTCTTCGCGTATTTCACCTTAGCGAAGCTTCCTTCTCCTAGAGTTCTTCCCATCTCATAATTCCCTACTCGCGTCCTACTCGCCGGCGTCGCCGCTTTCCTTCTGCTTCCACTCATTTTCTTCTTCTTCCGATCACAAAACTCAACGGCTCTCGATCGGCGGCAAATCTTTCAATGTGATCCTCCGAATCTCTTCTCTCTTCCTAGTGGCTGGTTTTAAGGCGGACGAGAGGAAGTGGACGAGCGAGAGATATAATAGGCGAGAGTGGGATTCACGCGCGTCATGTGGGTCCTATGCGCCACGTAATGTCAAAACATTATTTTGCTGTTCCGCGTCAGTCCCGTGTATTTGTACTTGTGTACGTACATTCTTCATCCATATAAATTCCACAATTCTTTTTCTATTTTTGTGTGGTAACTATATAATAAAAACCAATTTTAAGTATATGGATTATATGAAAAGTTGGGGTTATAAATTTATGTGGATATGCTTTTATTTTAAGGAATGTGATTGATGTCCTTAATCTTTATGTATATGAGTATATCTTTCAGTGATCTCCTCATGTTCAAAGTTAACTGTTATCATATTATTTGATAAAATTGTATGTGCCATCGTTTTCATGTAGAAATTATCCTCAAAATATAACTTTTTTTTCTTTTATATATAGTTAGAAGTTGGAAACTATCTAAGAAAAATAAATACATATATCAAATGATTGTAGTTAAATGATTATTGTTATCTTGGTCAAAATTCGCAACTGAATATTCGCATAAACTTATTTTTGTAGAAATACTGAATTTTATGTAGCTGTTTGGTTTTGTTTGTCAGAATTTTATGTAACGGTTCTAAAATTGATTATTAGAATTTCATATGTATGAATTATGATAAAGAATAAAAACATAACTGAAATAGTTGATCTTTCCATGTGAGTAAAAGTAATTGTATGAATATGAACCCCACATATCCTTCCTGATAAACTTAGAGATGATGACACAGAATGTGATAATGTTTTTATTTTTCTTCTTTCCTTTATTTATTTCTCTTATTTTCTTTCATATATATCTTTTGGGTAATTACATAATAAAGCCAAAACACGCAGAAAATTATAAAGTGTGGCAGACAGCGAGTTGATGATTTATGGCATAACTAATAATAACGATACAATAATTTTTGAGATATATTAGTATATTACGAACAAAAGAAAATGCAATAATGCACCCTGAACCACTCATTTCAATAATTGAGCTGTTTTATATGTTTTTTCTTAAAGTCCGGTACAATAATATCACGTCACCATCGTATGAAAGCAATTCCATTTGGTTATCAATTTGAACTTCTTCCTTCCAGATTTTGTTTGATTTATTTTAGACTTTTTCCTGGTTATGATGAGATCGAATTTATTGGATTCAAATTTTTTTTAAAAAAACTATATAAACCAAATTTATTATTTGGTTTGATTTGTATTACTTATCGGTATAGCTCGGTTTGTAGTTCCAGTAGACCGAACAGCCGAGTCCTACATACATATATGATTTCAACAGACATATTATTGGTGTGTGTGTAGCCCATATAAAATTGGCCCATTAATATTGTTCACTTCTTCTAGCTAGAAAGACTTTTTGTGAATTAAAATTTAGGGCCCAACTAAATTTATTCTGTATAACTAACTGCAACTACAATTTGACAAGACAAATGATCATCAAATTGATGGTACAGTTAGAAAATGAAAATGGGTGATACTAAAAGCATTTGTATGAAATTCTATATTGATAAATGATGATTTTTTTGATAACGTATGAATGTATGATGATGATAATTTCGAATTTTTTTTCTGATACAAAAATTCTTCTTTATGCTTCCATTTTCTTTTGTTGAACAAAGATGGTCAAGGGACCTAACTGTTTCCTAACATAGTTTGTCTTCAGGGTTTATTATTTGCCGTTTTAGTAACGAAGTTAGATATTCATACGTATAAAACTATAAATAGTAGAGTCGGGTCAGATTGTGTTTCTTATTAATTAAATTTTTTTAAAAAACTGATATATGCCAATAACAAAGCATATAATGTCTTCAAAGATTCAATCGTGAGTATGTACAAATACGTGAATCTACTTGCACCACACGGCACCGTTTTCTTGCCCTTCCTCTCCCACGTTTATTGTCGCCTCGTAACAGAAATTATAACTTGGAGTACTATTATAAAATACCTCAAAAACTAAAAATCTAGTTCTAAAAATACCATAATTTGGGAAATAAATTCAAAACTGTTTCTAAATCTAAACTTTTGTGTGTGTGTGTGTGTGTTTTTTGGAATTGTAGGATTTTTTTGTGATAATTTTAGAATACATAACATAAAATGTATTATCTCTTTTAGAATTGCCCTTTTATACATTTACTAAACTAAACCGGAGTCGGGTTTTAGGTACAAGCAACATTACTTGGATGTTCGTTTCGGTCTAAACATACATTTTCGTGGTTCATTTGCAAGAGGATCGAATTGGTCTAAACGTTAGCTAAAACCCAAAAACAAACTCTATATTCATACTCAAACCAACAAATAAAACCGGGTTTGATTTTGATATTATACTTTCTAAACCGACATACACGAACCGAAACCTGACTGCATATATACTTACTCATACACTCTTAAGAATATAAAATCTATTATTGTCATCCCTCTGTTCTTTCACTTCACCTAATTCCCAGTAAAATTAATAAAGAGCCTGAATCATTACTTGCTAATTCGACCCTCTTGCAAATGAACCACGAAAGCAACATGAACACGAATATGAAGAAGAGGACAATTAGGAAAGAGAAGAAGAGTACGTCGTCAATGGTGTTCTTATATTCCATGATTGTGAATATATGTGGAGGGTTGTTTCTAAGTTATTGGCTTTACAAGTACCATCCCACAAATTCTAATCTTTGGATGGTTCCTCTTGGACTCATTTTCTTCATCACTCCTGCGTTTCTTTCTCTGTCCATTTTGATCTCTGATCTCTGCGACGACGACGATGATGATGATGATGTCAACCTCGACCAAATCAGGATCATTCTGTGAAAGTTTTGAGTTTTTCTTCAAGTGTTGTCGTTTATTTGGTAATTGGTATTAATATGATCTATATTATTATTAACCTCCGTATAGATGGAAGAATAATTGTGTGGTTTTATTGTTTAAGTTAATAAAGTTCCACGTTTGTTTCCGAAACATTTGGTACTTGTACGACAAGTTACCTCCCTCTGTCTAAAAAGATTGTTTTCTGTTAATATTGGCATTTGGTATATATGCAGGCATAGCTGGTTTTATTGACATCTTATTTTAAGTAATTACCTCAAATAGCTCATCGTTGGAGATCATGGGAAAAGATTATTGGCATTTGGTATATATGCAGGCAGAGCTGGTTTTATTGACATCTGACACGGACTTGGACTGAGTAAGCTCTTGTTGAATACATGATTCTGTGTTGATCAAAGATGAATTTGAATCAAAAGTTCTTGGACTGATGAATGTAATTGTCCATGTTTGATGCAGAATATCTAAGTCTAGGATACTCAACGCCTTTCCTCTCGCTCGGGTCATCGTATATGTATTCCTCCTTGGCTGCAGCAAAAGCCGCTGTGATTTCTGTAGACGAAGAAATTGCAAGCCAAGGGCTGCCATTAGGAATCTGCCCTCTTGTGTTTGTCTTCACCGGAACAGGAAATGGTAACTTCTTTAGTTCCACTGCAAGTTTCTTAAATCCTATGGCAACTCTCAGCCTGCAGATGTTTCATTTCATAAACTTTCCTCATCCGCAGATTCTCTTGGCGCGCAAGAAATTTTCAAGCTTCTTCCTCACACTTTTGTTGAACCAAGCAACCTTCCTGAACTATTTGCAAAACTAAGTGTACCTTTGCTTTAAAAGTTATATTATTCATTTTCAGGGTATTGACATTACAAATCCCTGTGAATCTGTTTATAAGTTTTCACTTTTCTGAGAAGTTTCTCTTAAAGAAATGTATACTTTTTGCACAGGACAAAAGAATTAGCCAAAATGGAAAATCAACAAAGCGAGTCTATCAACTATATGGTTGTATCATTACAAGCCCAAGGATATTTAAGGTAATTACTACTTAAAGTAAGTTCTTCAAAGTCTATCCATAATTCCATATGATTCTCTTTCTCTCAATCCTCTGTTTTGTTTAAAGAAGAATATAAAACAAAAGCTGCAGAGACCTACAAAGTGGGACGGCTACTACAGAAGACACATTGTCTTCTCAACTACATCGTCTACATCTCATTACAAGTTTACTAGGCTGTTAAAAAGGAAGGACTGTTAGTACCAAAGATTTTATAGTGAAGACTTACTAACCATGTTTCTCCACTTGTCTTTAAGATCGGAGGGATTGCGAGTCTTGTGAAATATTCCTTTTCCCATCTCCAATATCTTCTTCCAAGGCATGTTTTTTCTGATCGTAGGTGAAAATCTCTCCACTCCCACCTATCCAAAATAAAAGATTTCTATGAATTTAATCTAAAAGTGTATTGTAAACAAAAGTGGAGTTAGTGTGGCGGTTTTACCTTCAACATGGTTTCTTCTTCCACTGTCCATAAGACCCTTTTTGGCTGATCATCATCAACAACATAAGCTTCTACACAACAATTCTCCACAATTGACTCGTCTAACTGGAAATTTCGAGCCTTAAGTTTCTTCACCAGTTCTTGTAATTGATGAAGGTTCTCATGTAATTGTGTTGGTAGTGAATTGTCTGAAACAGTCTCTAGTGGAATGTTTTCTCTCGCCATGAAAGTGTCGCTTGTCCTAAGGTAGTGTCGCTTCTTAGGAGGCACAATGTTTGGAGCAGAGTTCACACCAATATCACCACCATCACAGTGAGCAATACAATGAGCATTGAGCTTTTCACTCACATAGCCAATCTCATCAATAATTTCACCTAGCTAAGATACAACCAAGTATGAGTAAGAGTGATCACACTTGGCCTAATTCAAAACTACTCAAAATTGAACTAAATCTACCAAATCAAGCTTATCAAAGACCAACTGAGACAGAATCTGTTCAAATTACACAGGAAAAAACATCAAACTGGGGAAACCAAAGCTAAGCAAATTTGGGGTACAGTAACTAAAATCTACGCAGGATTCAAAACATCAAATGATTCAGAAGATTAAAATTCGAGAAAACTTGAATTTAGGGTTTCTAAGGGCGCTTACATAAGGACTCAGAGCGATATCATCATCTTCATCAATCGGTAGAGGATTCTTCTCGACGCTGATCTCATCTTCATCAATCGGCAGAGGATTCTTCTCGACGCTGATCTCATCTTCATCAATCGACAGATGATTCTTCTCGACGCTGATCTTATCTTCATCATCCGGCAGAGGATTCTTCTTGACGCTGATCTCATCTTCCTCAATCGGCAGAGGATTCTTCTCGACGCTGATCTCATCTTCAATATCACTCACCATTTTGGCCGGATTTCGATCGGAGCTTTGAGAGATTCAAAGGTCTAAGTGAAATTTGAATTACGATTTTTCTTTCCGGGAGAGGAAATAGAAGCTACTCTATGTTTTGGTCTCTGTAAGTTGTGTATCTGAGTTTTCGAAATTTCGAATTTAGGCGAAGAAATCATGTTGAAATCCGTTGACTTAGCAATGTAACTTTCTCGAAGGCCCATGGGCCTTAGAATCTCGTATTAAGCCCAAAAATGTCTAATTATGAACAAAACCTTCTGATTAGCTTAGAGGTTGTTGTATTAATGTTTTGTTTTTTTTTCGTTTATAAAGACAAATTAGAGGCATTTTTGGTCATAAAATCCCACAGAGCTCGTCGACATCCAGGTGAATCCAAGTAATAAATTGCAGGATTCTCTATAAATATATTGCTATCATCTCCTTGCGAATTTCTCCGTTAGGATCGGTCTGGGTTTTGGTTAAAATTTCGAGGGGTTTTTGCCTTTTTGGGGAAGACGAAATTAGGGTTTTGTTCGGCGAAGATGCAGCAGTCTCCGCAAATGTTTCCGATGGTTCCTCCGATTCCCCCTACTAACAACATCACTACCGAACAGATCCAAAAGGTTCCTTCTTTCTTCAATTTCTCTCCTTCTCAGTGCATATCTCTCTCTCTTAATTTGTTCAACAGTTAGGCTTTTAGAGCTTTTTTGTGCTGAGAAAATCAATGGGTTCTGAGTTCAAGTAATGGTCTTGTGACAGTTAGTGGTGGCAATTAGGGTTTAAATGTTTATATTTGAATCTTCCTCGTTAATTCTTAGATATGAATCCCACAACAGTTCTTGTTAAATGATACAACACTTGGGTCTGTTATTGGTGATGAGAAGAGACAGTTTTTAGGACTCGAGACTAGATGCTTAGTGGGTTTTGTTTAAGTTTTCAATTGGATCAAGAAAACTTAGTACCTTGATGCTTGCTTGATGTTTTTGTTTTGTACTTTCTTGTATAGCTAAGTGGCTTGATGGCTTCCATGGTAAGATGATAGGCTGCATCTTCATTTACTTGTCATTCTCTTTAATATGTTTCACCTGCTTAAACGCAGTACCTTGATGAGAACAAGAAGCTGATAATGGCCATCATGGAAAATCAGAATCTTGGAAAACTTGCTGAGTGTGCCCAGTAAGTGTCTCCTTTCTATACATTTCAGTTTATATCCATCTTCTGGTGAGGTTATATAGTTAATATCTTTTGCTCTGTTATATATTCAGGTACCAAGCTCTTCTCCAGAAGAACTTGATGTATCTTGCTGCAATTGCTGATGCTCAACCCCCACCACCTACACAAGGAGCTGCACCATCTCCAGCTATGGCTTCCCAGGTTGTTTGTGATATTAAAAGTCAATTGCAATCAATCAGAACATTAACATATATATCGAATGCCGAAAATTTAATGTATCGGGGTTTGCTTACTTTTGGGTATGATTGTTGTTAGATGACAACACCGCATCCTGGGATGCAACCACCTAGCTACTTCATGCAACACCCACAAGCTTCAGGAATGGGTCAACAAGCATCACCCGCAGGGCTTTTCCCTCCACGAGGTCCTTTACAGTTTGGTAGCCCACACCAGCTTCAGGATCCGCAGCAGCAGCAGATACATCAGCAAGCTATGCAAGGACACATGGGGATTAGACCAATGGGTATGAACAACAACGGGATGCAGCATGCGATGCAACAACCAGACACCGGTCTTGGAGGGAACGGTAACTCTTTGCATTAGGACAATACTCAATTCATAATTGTAACTTATATTTACTTGGATTGTGTTCATTCGTTTCGTTCTTTACTAACAGTGGGGCTTAGAGGAGGAAAGCAAGATGGAGCAGATGGACAAGGAAAAGATGATGGCAAGTGAAAGGATCCAAAGAAGCTTTGTTTTGTTGATATTTAGGACTTCTGAGTCTCGTAAGGGTTTTGCAATAGCTTATTTGAGTGTTTAACAGAAGATAGACTGTGGAATAGTTCCGCAAACCGTGTTGTAATGTATTGTTATTTAGTACAAGCTCGGATTTAGAAAACATTATCATTCATCTTATTCTGAAAAATCAAAGCATTGAACTTATTTTCTCATTCCGGACGGGTCTTCACGATGAAATTCTGACGGCTAATGGGATTCATAACAACAGGAGGACCAGCGGTTCTTGGCCAAGCTTGGAATTTCTCATCAGTTGCCGCCCACCATTCTTTGTTAGAGACGGTTCCTGGAGTAGTCCCTGAGGTTTTCAACAGAAGATAACCATTAAGATCGTCCCTAAGTTGAAAACACACAAAAATAGTGAAATCTTGTGCAAAACTTGCCTCCGAAGATCTTATTATCAGAGATAACTTTGTCGAAGATGTATGAGATTCCGAAAGAACCGATGAGAGCACCGATTATATACTTGGCTTTACCTCCTGATGCTGTTGCCATTTTCTTCTAAATCTGAAAGTGATTATCACAACCATTATTACAACTTAACACTCGAACACATGTAAATCACAAGAGAAGAAGTAAACGAATCTAATTCCAAATTTTAACCAGCAACAAAGATTATATAAGGATTTAATATTAAGGCCAAAAAAACACAGATTGAATCTTTACTTATCATATAGCCCAATCAAAACGCAAATTCAAAAGAAAAAGAAAAGGGTTTGTAGAATCATTCTAAAGTTTACCTTTGCCGATTCAGAGACAGTGAAGCTTAAACAGTGGACTTGTGTTCGAGAAGATTTCAACGGTGGAAGATGGTCGTTCAACTCTATCGTCTTATCTTTAAAAAAATTTGGACAAGTCTCTGGAAATTACCAAAATGGGCACAGCTTTGTGAAACGCTAATTAAGCAAGTACTCACTAGATTATAAGAGACAAAAATACATATCATCAGAAGGAAAAACTAATAGCAAATCTCCTAGTTTGCTGAATTTTATACGTCTAGCTAATTTAATTGTTAAAACCAAAATTGCTAGTTGAGTTTGTTTAGTAATTTTCATTTTTTATGAAGATATACATCTATGTATTTATTTATCACTAAGGAAAGGTCCAATGTTGTTTTCGGCGTATGACACATACTCTATTATAAGCTCTCGGCGAATGCCACATATATTAAACACTTACAATTTAATTCTTGCAGAATTACGATTTTCAAAACTCATTTGACATGTGCAACATGATTGTTGTACTTATTATTGACTATTGAGGTCGGGTCGTGTTATTATACCATATGATTTCGTTAAAACCACATAAAGATTAGATAGTTTTAGTTTGCGCAAAATGACTTAAACTTGAGCAGTTTCATTTATTAATAGCTCTACTAGGGGAGTTAAATAAGCTTCTTTTTATAGTTTTCTAAACTCATAAAACCAACAAAATACAAAATCAATTAGGTCAATCATAAAGCAAAATATTTTGATTGTAAACGACTACATCACACGTAACTTTCTAGACACGTAAAGTCAATTAAATACTAATAAATTAGATCACGACCTGAGCAATTTCTTATCCGATTGTATTTAAACGTCTCAACAAACTGACCCGCCAAAATAATAATAATTAAATTCCATAATTCGAATTATGTAAACTTAATTACAAACACCATTATTCTTCCTTAATCCTTTATTTTTACTTCATTCATTCTCAGAAATCTTGACCATGAAGGAGGATCGTCGTCTTCCTCACAAACGTGATGGCTTCCAAGTCTTGAAAACCAAGACTGCTTACGTTATCTTCATAGTTCTAACCTACGCCTTCGGTTACTTCTCTGCCTACTACTCTCGTCAACCGCTGCAGCAGCAGCAGCCACCGTCTCCGGCGGCGGTGAGAGATGTGAAGACGACAAAACCTCAAGTTTGTTCAATCGACAACTTCCGAGTAACGACTCGATGCGGCAATCTTGTTCCGCCGGAATCGATTCGCCAAACGGTTATCGACCGGATCTTTAACGGAACTTCACCGTACACCGATTTCCCACCACCACACGCCGAGAAGTTTCTCCGGCCAAAAAGAATCAAAGGCTGGGGATCGTACGGCGCCGTTTTCGAGAATATAATCCGCCGAGTCAAACCTAAGACGATCGTCGAAATCGGGAGTTTCCTCGGCGCGTCGGCGATACACATGGCGAATCTCACGCGCCGCCTTGGGCTAGAGGAGACTCAGATTCTCTGCGTCGACGATTTCCGTGGCTGGCCTGGTTTTCGAGACCGGTTTAAGGACATGGCTTTGGTTAACGGTGACGTTTTGCTTATGTACCAGTTTATGCAAAACGTGGTTAACTCGAATTTTTCCGGTTCGATTTTGCCGGTTCCATTCTCGACCGGTTCCGCTTTGGAGAAGCTGTGTGAGTGGGGAGTGACGGCGGATCTGGTGGAGATAGACGCGGGTCATGATTTCAATTCGGCTTGGGCGGATATAAACCGGTCGGTTCGGATACTCCGACCCGGCGGAGTTATATTCGGTCACGACTATTTCACAGCGGCGGATAATAGAGGAGTGAGGAGAGCCGTGAATCTATTCGCAGAGATTAACCGGTTAAAAGTCAAAACCGATGGTCAACATTGGGTTATTGATTCCGTCAAGTAACCTGATTCCCTTTTTCCATAAGGGATGAAAAAATTAGATGTCTAATAAGAAAATGTGTAATACTTGCATAGTCAATTCATTTTTTTTTTCGTCTTTTGACAATTAATGGATTTGATTTTGAGGTTCTTGATTGTATAATGAGAAAATGTATTTGATTGATCAGTTGAGAAACCTCGAAGCAAATCAGAAGGTCTAGGTAAATTAGTAAACGTATTTGGGCCTAATTCGAGATTGTAAGTCATATGGGCCATCGAAGAAGTCACATTGCAAAGCCTGACTGATTTGGAAGGTTCGATAACCGAGGCTTCTGTATATTATGGGGGTAGTTTTGGAATTTCGTCTATTTCACCGTTGTATTAATTTCCTTTTTTCGTCCCCGCTCCTGTAAGATAGATTTCCTTTTTTTTTTTGTGTTTGTTTCCATTCTTAAAGCAAACCAACACATATTGGTTTGTGTTATTGAGACGTGTTTATAAATAGTAGAAGTAACCCTCGAGAGACCCATTCGATCATACTTTTCTCTTCTTTCTTATCAACAACCATCTCTAATTTGTTTTCTTTTTCTCTTCTAATTCTTTTTTTACTTAGATCACTCGTGAACTTGATTCCACTCTTCAAATCAAGTAATTTGATCGAGTGTGTGTGTTCGATTTCTGATGCAAAACAACAAAACCGATTTCCGTTTTTTTGGTGAATGATGATCAGAAAGCTAAAGTGAAGACTCGACGACAAAAACTCTGTGATTGCAAACGGTATTTTTCTTATCTTCGAATTCAATTTTGAATTGATTTCTTAATTACTTTCAGAAGATTCTTAATACAGTTTCTCTTCTCCTCCTTTTGTAGATTTGCCATCTTTTCTCCGGCTTTTCGTCGTGGTTGTTGCTGCTCTGTTTTGTTTCGTAACCATTAGAGAGACGATCACAGTTTCTCATTCGCCGCCATGTCATCGAAACTCTTTCAGCCCAACAAAGCCCAACAAGAATAAAGAAGTCCAGCCCATGACGATAATCGTCTCACGTTCCAACTTATCGGCAAGGTCAATTTCTATCCCATGTTTTTATTTTTTTAATGCTTGTTTTATTAATGTTTTTTTTTTTTTTTTAATAAGTGTTAAATTTTTTAATTTTGTGTAAACTAATTGGATACAACATCCAAACCCCTAAGAGGTGTTTTAGGTTCAATATGGTTTACACATTATTAAATTTTTAACACTTATTTTTTTAAAATGTTTTGTTTTTTGTTTTTGTTTTTTTATAAGTGTTAATGTTTTTAATTTTGTGTAAACTAATTGGATACATCATCCAAACCCTTAAGAGTTGTTCTAGGTTCAATATGGTTTACACATAATTAAATTTTTAACATTTGTTTTTTTTAATGTTTTTTTTTTTGATAAGTATTAAATTTTTTAGTTTTGTGTAAATTAATTGGATACATCATCCAAACCCCTAAGAGGTGTTCTAGGTTCAATATGGTTTACACATAATTAAATTTTTAACACTTGTTTTTTTAAAAAAATATTTTGTTTTTTTTTTTGGTTTTTTTTTAATGTGTTAAATTTTTTAATTTTGTGTCAACTAATTTGATACATCATCCAAACCCCTAAGAGGTATTATAGGTTCAATATGGTTTACACATTATTAAATTTTTAACACTTATTTTTTAAAAATGTTTTGTTTTATTTTGTTTTTTTAATAAGTGTTAAATTTTTTATATTTGTTTAAACTAGTTGGATACATCATCCAAACCCCTAAGAGGTGTTATAGGTTCAATATGGTTTACACATTATTAAATTTTTAACACTTATTTTTTCAAAATATTTTTTTTTTTATAAGTGTTAAATTATTTAATTTTGTGTAAACTAATTGGATACATCATCCAACCCCTAAGAGGTGTTGTAGATTCAATATGGTTTACACATAATTTAATATTTTGGTAAGTTTAAAAGTTTTTCACAATTAAGTTTTAAGTAAATTATTTTAATTTTTAACTAAAAAATTTTGATTTACAAATTGCTTTTATTTTATAAAAAACAGACAACATTTCAAGTTTCTAATTTATTTGATATAAAAATAATAATTTTTTCTTTCCTACGGAGTGGATTTTGAATCATGTTCTTTTTATTTTGAATCGACGATCCTTGTGCTGAGTGCTGACCTTTGCTGGATGGATTCTCCATGTACCATGAGGCCAGAAATCATCTAATTAAGCATTCTATTTACTTTTTTGAATGCTTGCATGCAATGAATTCGTTTCCTTTGAATTTAAGAGGAGGGAAAATGCATAATGTGAAAGAAATTAAAGAACAAAAGCATATTTTTTTCTCAAGCTCGATGTGGTTGTAGCTGGAACCATCTTCCGACGATTTATATGTTTCCTTTGGCGAATGTTCCTAACCTAAAGATAAAACGCCTGACTTAGTTTTGCAATACAAATAATGAGTATGTATATTTCTTACAACTGTTGGCAAAATTTTCATAATGTATATATATGTTAACCCAAAAACTTTAAACGTCTCATCAGATACCAATAGTCCTTACTCCTAGGCAAATAGTAGATTATTTGGGGCTGTCTATCTTTTTCTCTTCAAAATATTGAGTTGTCTTTGACAATATTTTAAACTACTTGTAAATCACAGAGATAAACACAACATAAATCAAGAAATTTTTTAAATCTTTACCTTGAAGATTCATATGAAATATCTTGAAAAGACTTCGTTAGCTTGAAAATGCAATATATAGCTATAAATAAACGAAACAAAAGCAAAAAGCATAAACGGATCCGCAAATGTGTAAATCTACTCTTAAGAAGTCATGCATGAAAGATTCAAAGTGATTAAAAAAGGTCATACAAAGTTACAAACCAAGCTTTTGTGATTTGTGCAAGTAATTAACAAAAAAATGTAACGATATATGGTGATCAGAGGCAATAACATGTTGGGGGGGATGAAGCCTGGTCCGAGGATACTCTCTATGATCACTTGGATCAACATACACATGTATATATGTATAATATCCTCGATCCAGACAACATTCCCCTCAACTGAAATAGCTTAATTCTCATGATAATCGATCTTAGCAGATTCACACTTTGTTGTAGATCGAGAGGAGAGAGAGAGAAAGAGAGAGAGGTTGGTGAATGGTGATGATGGTGTTATGATGAGGGAATGATGAGTGGCGGAGACGAAGATGGGCTTTTAATAAGACACAACAGAAACAAGTCGTCATTCCTAAACCCTAGCTTTTAAAAAAACTATATTTTATTTTATTTAATATCAATGACGCAGTTAGAGCATACACAATGACACGTCACACGTTAAGTTGGCAAGAAATAAATTGATTTTGATTATGATTTGTAACTTATCAACGGACTTGGTAAGAAAATCTATAAAATCTTCATTTGAAACAGCTTTTGGTCAATTTTCTAAAACAAAATTCAGCAACTTGTGGTTTGTTAGACTATGAAATTTTCACCCATAACTTTTTGGTGAGCCAAAAATAAAATTAATTTGTACATATATATAAAAAATATATATGTGCATATATGAGAGAGTCTAGTCTATTATTGAATTGCGAAATAAAGAAGGCAATAGAAGTTAGTCAGAAGAGTGGTTGGGTAAATTGAGGATGACCAGTTAGGAAACAAAATATTTTCAATTTAATTTTGCATCGCTTTTTAGGTATCCTACCAACTTCATTAATTATAAACATCTCTTCTCTCAATTTGTAAAATTTTGATACTTATATGAAACCACAGGCTGCCAAAAACATAAATATATTATATACATTCGATTCGAGTCTTCATCTTGATGTCTACGGATTTGTAATTAATTGATCAAATTCATATAAAAACAACATGATATATTTAATTGTAGGATGGATTGATGACATCAACAATCATTTCTTGTTCACACAAGGGCTTTAAATTGGTGACCGTCAATTTTTACTTTATGCAAAGAAAAACTGAAAATATCATTTTTAGTATTAATTTAGTATATATATATATATATGGCTTAAATATATGTCGGATATAATAAGTAGAAATAGGTTTAAGCTTAGCTAGTTGGAAGTTTTCGGGGAGTTGTTTACAACGCGAAGCCATGTTGTTGTTTCTTTCTGGCGTGGGGAATTTTTTTTCACTTAAAAGATTATTGTATTCTCCAATTTGATTAGTTTACTAGTACCAATTAAACCAGAGTTGTCTAATAAACACTATGTGCCTTAAAACAGATGATTAAATCAATTATATATAATTAAGCATGTAAATATTGTGATTAATGACAAACGGAGAAGACGATGCTCCGGATTTGGACCATGTTTGAATCTCAACCCATGTTTCTGATTCAAATTATCATTATTGGTTTAAATACTTGGTAGTCCTTTACATTATATGAGTATCGACAATATTTATCATTATTGATTTATTTATACAGGTCTGGCTACGACATCTACGTAGCATTGTAATTAGGAACGTAATAAATACAAAGGACTGTCAATTTCTTAGGCATGTTTGTCTCGTAGCTCTTCGCCATTAATAACTATACGTCTATAATGGCATCCATTTTTAAATGATACTCTGTTGATGCTTGCAAATTTTCGTTACTATTATTTTGATGTTATTATCCGAAGTATATATACTAGTTCATTTTGTTCTCGACTACGCGTTTTTGTTGATAATTGGTTTACAATTTTGCATATATATATTTTTAATATAAAAATTGGTCCCTCTCCGAAGAAGTAATGGCCGTTGAAGGTTTAAGAACATTTAGTTAAAAGAAAACTTATCTCAAGTAGTATATATTTTTGTAACAAAAAAATAATTTTTCGCTCTAATCATACATTATTTTTGTTATTTTTTCTTATATGTAAATATATAAGAGAATGAAATAGGATAATTTGGTTAAAAGAAATGAATAATATCAATAGCTTACTATCGAAAACTATAGCATATAGACTCACCATGACACCATGTATATTTCACATCACGGGAAATTGTATTTTGATTTGACTTTTCGAAACTTCTTATAAATTTGACTGAAAAGTTTGACCAACAGATGTATTGTATAAA